TGGAAAACAGAGCCATTAGAAGTCTAATGAGACTCAATTTCTAAACACTAGAGCTGTTTTTAAAGCATGTCCCTTTGTTTCAGGTTTGCAGACCACTTTATGAATAGAGACACAAATGCAGTTTTCATCTTCACCAAACTGACCTCCTGTTTTGACTCTCCATGTATCCGCTAGTAATTTTTCTACATCACTGCTGGTAAAGTGCTAGCAGCGATTCTTGTATTTCTCCTGTCAACCAAGCTTTATTCAAGTTTGACCTTCTCTTTGTCAGACAAGCATCACTCATCTCTTATGATGTGCTAGCTTTAATATCTTTCAAGCATTATATGCCATCTCCCTAGAATAAGCTTCAGCAATACGACATCCTCTGGGCTTACAGAGTGTAATGCTCTGCTTCTGGGTGCAGCATTTATTATTTTAGCATGGCTTAATTTGTGTCATTGTTTTGGCCAATCTACTTCTTTAATGTCCTGCTTCTATTCAAACCTGGTTTTCATCTGTTACTTCCCTTTCTTGGCAATACATGCTAATTAAAATTGTCCAACTCAGACTTCAAACTACTTCTACCTGTGGGTACTTTACACATGTTATTTTCATGGAACAGCTCTATTGTTATCTAATTCCAGCAAGTATTTTGTCTGAAGGCTTTGCTTCTAGAAACAATGTAATTACCAGTCAGTTTGACGCTCTTGCAGCCATTTTGCAGAATTAAGTATTGAAACAGTACTTTGAGAGAATAATGAGCTTTAATTCTTTTTCCTATTTGGTGTTGTGCTATAATGCACACTTACAGGAGTGGCAAATCAATGTTTTGATTAATTTTGATCCTAACAGTTAAGATTTTTAGAACCTTGTTACAGTTCTTGTTCTATGGCAGGGAGTGGAGAACTGAGTTCTTGCCATCATTAAAGAAAGGAGTGTATTGGGACAATGTTCTGCTGCTCAGAAAAGTGCAGAAATGAAATGACACAAGACTTTTGAAGAAGGGTTATGACAGGGGGGCAGAATCACCTGAACCTCTTTGATAGAAATACCTCTGCTGACTGATAGAAACAGTTGTATTTCTGATGGAGTCACAAGCTACAAAAGCAAAGGTCTGTGTTGACTTCCATATCTTCATTGCTAACATATTTTTCATGCAGGAAGATTCTGCCTTTTCAGCATTCTTTATAGATTTTCTTTTTCCTCAGAAATTAGAGTATTGAAACTGGTTGTCTTGTATGATTAATATCTGTTTTGTGTGAGGAGTTACGGATGGCAACATTGCTAATAGCATTAATAAATTGGACCGTGACAATCTGAATACAGTTGATAACAATGTAAAGTTAAACTTTTCTAATACCTGTTAATTTTCATACCAAGTTTGAATAGTAATTATGCAGCATTAATAAACACTTGTTGGAAATTTTACTTTGCCTACATTTAAACTGATAGGTGGATAGAAAACAATCAGGGGGCTTATTTGAGGGAACTGAAAAAATGACAAACCCCTTTCACTTCATTCCCCAGCCATCCCCATATGAAAACCCCTTTCAACAGAAGACAAGATTTAGTGGATATGCTGAGTGTTCTACAACTTTTTAATACCTGGAACTTATTAAAGGAAATGTAAAGACTAACTTTATCTAGTTTTCTGCTTAGGTATCTAATTAAATATAATTAAGTGCCTTAAAAATAAAAAGGGTTTGTGAGCATTTTCCTTTTGTCTTCAATATTTTACACTAGTAAAAAATTCATTTTCAGTAGTATATAGATAGATGACCACCCTGCTCTTCATCATTCTGGACTACACTGAGCTGAAATAGCAACAATTAAGGAGCAAAATGATTTTTCCTATAATCCTAGTAAAAAAACGCCTTCCTCTTATCTAAAATGGCCTGTGGTACAGACACACAATATGAAGGCTATTACTGGTATTTCAAAATGTAGTGAATTTTCAGTTAAAAGAAAAATTTAAGGAGAAACACCTAATTAAAGTAAGGAGAGTTAGCTATATGAACCAGTGTTTCCACTGCTCCTATGTGCACTCATTACTTTTTTAGGTTAGTATTTTGAATGTGTGAATGACAGAAGTGAGTTGTATGAAGATAAGCTCTTTTAAGTAAATCATTGCCATTCAACAATATAATATGAGATGCCTAGCCTTGAATCCTTGATTTAAAAATACATTCAGTGGTCTCTTACATAATCACAGTTCATTTCTTATCTACGTCAAGGAATGTTGCTGTCTATTCCAGTAGCCTAACGACTACTAAAGTGAATTGCTTGGTGACTCTGTCCACTTCCTGATTTGGTGCTCTCATACACACAGAGAACACTTCCACAGTTCAGATTATTTCACTCATGGTGAGTTCAGAAGAAGCAGTAAACAATGGAGATTTCAGACTAATTTTGTCTCTGAAGATGCACTCATTTGTTACAAAGCAGAGATATTTTTAAGATATCTTTTTTTTGGAAATTTGAATCAGTTGTCCTCTTTATGTAATTTCTGTTGAGAAAAGAGACCATTAGATGGGTGCATTTTTCTTTATATGTAGCGACTGCAAAGAAAAGCAAGTTAAACCAAAACACACCTTTCCTCCTTCCTAATTTTGATTCTCACCCTCCTCACTAAATTTAGGCAAAATGAGGTTACAGTAAAGGAAATGAATATAGTGAAATTAGATTAAGTTGGCTAAAACCAAGGGAGCTAAAGAAAATTTTATATATCTATCTCTCATGCTCTGAAAAGTTCCATTCTATGTAGCAGTCTCAACAATTTTTAATATAACTTTTTAAACAAGTGAATTAAACAAAGAATTAGTAAGATTCTTTTGGCATCTGATAGCTAAGTATCTGCAAACTACTTAAGAAGTGCATTCCACATAAATAATATTGAGATTTATTCTGTGCCTTTATTTGTCAGTATTACCAATTTTGTTAAACTGAGATAATCTAGAAAGATGCAGGTTTCATGAACAGATTGTGATTAGGCTTCTTAAATTACAAGTAGTGTCTGCCTTAAAACTTCCTTCAGTCCCAGATTTTTCTTCACCTTTTGGACGCTTGCTTTTTTACAAGTTTGGGAATTGGTGCCTCTGTCTCTCCTACCCTGTTGGTACATGCTGTCATACCTTTCCTCTCATCGATGTCCAGATGCTGCTCCAGCCCTCTGCTTTTAACTCATCTTTTCTTTAGGGCTCATAAAAGCAAACCCCATCCTGTTTCCATGGCCAGCCCAGCTTACAGTCACCTATTTCCTCCTGGCCGTGCTCTCACCCTGCTTGCAAAGTACTGTAATGATTTTGGAGTGTGGAAGCCAGATCATATTGTTGTCCAAATATTCTTTATATGCTTGAAAGAGTAGCCAATAATATCTGGTGTTGTGAGACAAATGCATTCACAAATAATTTTTTTTTTAAATAGAATATTTAAAGAGTAAGCTCGTTTTCATAAATCTAGTCAGCCAAATGCTTTGATCATGTAAGCAACTTCTAAAATTAGTGGCAGAAGAGAGCCTTTTAGTTCCTTGATTTAGAGACTACTGTACGTTATGCAGCTTTACAGTTGCCAGTATATTTGGGATTTATGTGTTTGAATGTGATTTTTCCTGTATATCAACTGGTTTAAAAAATTAAATGTGGCACATGTTTAAGGTGTAAAGTGTTATTTTGTAGTGTATGTAACCCAAGATATCTCCAAAACATCTTGAGAATATCCAAACTATTAAAGGGTCCTTGAGCACTCCCTTTGGGGGGAAGTGGGAAGATCAGTAAGGTGACAATTAAAACAATACTGTTTCATGTGTGCACTGTACTATAATGTGCAAATGTGACAAGACAAAAAAATAAGGGTAGTTTTTTCTGTCAGCAAGTATTTTCTGTCTGGTTGTAAATTGTCACATTGTGCTCTTGCATTAAGCAATTTAGAATTAGATACATATATATATATATATGAAATAACATACTTTCACAACTGTAGTTCTGTTGGCATTTGGGGAGTAATTTCTGTCGTTTTATGAGTAGATGCGATAGAAAAGTTACAGTTCAGGAGTTGGGGTGGGGAATGTGATGTTTATATCCTCAGAAACACTGTTCCTTGAAAATTGAGCATTATTTATTTGAACACTGCAACTATATTAAATATATATTCATTATTTTTAAAAATAGATTTAAAAAAACCCAATAAAATTAAAAATCACATGGAGATGGGGTATAGTATGTGAATTATATGCTATCCACACAGTCCTTCATAAGTGGGAGTGGTTCTTATCTACCAAGAACATCTTTATGCTTGTTTAAAATGTAGTGACAGTGATCTTGCTACAATCACACAGCTAAGCACAGAGGTTACTTGGGTTCTGCTCTACATTAACAGATTAAAACACTGACAGATTTTATAGCATAAGATTTTTTTCAGAGACTGTTTTTTCTAACCTATATTCCCCTTCTTCCCAATTCTCTTTCAGATAGCGATTCTGTGGATGAAAAGGTTTAAAATCACCCGTTTGCTATAGGGATCATGTATTTTGTTGATGTTTGTTTGTGACTTATTTGACCTGTTTTGTTCCTTCATTTTAGTTGTGAAATCTGCATGGTTTTTTTCCCAGCTTTCCACTCTTTTGTTCTCCTTTGATTGTATGACAATGTGTTGCATTTATACACAGGGTAACCCTCACTGTTGTGCTTACTGTAATTGCCAACACAGGGGTCTGCTACTGGCAAACACGATATCTGATTTTTGCCTCCAATTATCAACTACCCTGCATTCACTACAGGATTTAAAGGGCAACAGTATTTGGGAAGCAACACCTCTGCCTTCCCATGGGTTCTTCCATTGTGTGTCACTAAATGCTGAATGCTACCAAAATATTTCCTAAAGGAACAGTTAGTCTAGCTGTGGCCTGGAGCTGACCCTGCTAAACATTTTCATATGTCTTATATGTTTGATGCAGCTAAATTTTGTCCAAAACTTACTAAAAGCAACCATGTAACCGGACTTTTTTTTTGTCTCTATTAAAGGCTCGGTTAGTAAGTGCAAGTTCCTTGGATGCTTCCAAGCTTTATGCGGTCCAAGCATTTGCTGGGTAAGTAAAATTATGACTGAGAATTTTGTTATTTGTATCTGCAAATTAGTCTTATAGCATTATAGTATTTTTTCGAAACTTTTTGTTTTAAGAAATTATATTAAAAGGAAGATAGTTTCATTGTGTATATCTTCGCCTTTTATTTTTTTAATTCCTTACTTTTTGAGAAATTAATACTTAATAATTAAAAATTAAATTTAAAATAATTAAAATTCTGATGCTGAGGTCAGTTAGAGATTTTGTTTATCTCTTTGCATATAAAGTAAGTGTTCTATGAAACTATAGCACAATTTTGTCTTCATTCTGGTCAATGTATAGTAATACAATTCTAGCAATGTAATATCACTCTGGTTCTTGAAATTACAAGATCAAGGGAGAAGATCTTCCAGTGGCTGAGAGTGAATGTGGTAGAAACCTGTATATTTTGTTTCGTCATCTCCAAATGAAGTTATCTTGCATCCAGTTCTAGGGATTCTTTCTTATTTTGAATACTTTCTTATTATTCAGGGAAGGTAAAGAAATAAAAGCTTTTGGTAAAACTAATCAGTTATATCAGTTACCTAATTAAAAGGGATATAATCCTCTCGCTGGTGCTCTCAGTTAGTACTTTTTAGTATAATTACAATTTATTATAAAGTGATGAGATTAAATTGATCATTCATCTTCTGCTTTTATGTTTGAAATGCTATAAAATTGACACTATGAAGTTTTTCCTGTTTAGATTCCTATTTTGAGGATTATTGCTAAAAGGTAGTTTATGGCATTAATTTGCTTAACACTGTGCACAGTCTTCTATGGAAGGTATACTTAGGGTAACGTTTGTACTTATTGCTAAACTTTAAACAAATTTATGAGTAATCTGCAACTTTTTAATGGTGTAGGTAGTTTTCATATAGTTTGCCACGCCCCAGAGTGTTGTACTCCTGCCTTTGCAGCCCTTAGAACTTTCAGAGTTGCTGTGAGAATGTGAGGACACGTGTGACATAGTGCAGGGTTAGTAACCAAATGCAAACCAGAGGAGAAACATTTTAACACCTGCTTGTTGTGTAGTTAAGGACAGAATTTTACAAGCAGAATCTGAATGCAGGTACTGACAGTCAAGTATTGTATCTGTGCCTGTAGAAAGCTGCATGTGACCATACTGTTTTGCTGTATGTACTACTTTCTCAAATCAGTTGGTTAATTACAGTTTCTTAATAGATGTGGACCTTCCTGGTTTTTGTGGGTTGCACACAAAAAGCAATCTCATAAGTGTATGGAGAGTCCTTGCCACTGACAAGGACTATACAGACTGAAGCTGCTCTTTTTATGCCCTCTCTTCCATTCACAGGTGAATAAATTCAAATATTGAATCCTCTGAGAAGAAACTGTGTCAAAGCCTTGTGCAGATATCCTCTAACCACTACTTCAAATGGCTGACAGTAGCTCAATAATAGCTCCTGTTTTTAGATTAAACTTTTGCTGACAAAGTTTAGACCTGTCCTCCCCTTGCTTTGCTGTCCACAGTATCTTTATTCAAGCCTCTGTTTCACTAGGCCTCGCTGAAAGCAGTTATGCAATTTTCATTTAACTTCTCATTCAGGCAAAGAAAGCTGTCATTTCAAAGACATTTGTGGCTCTGTTTTAATCACACTTCCCACTCCTTCGTGCAAGAACTAATGCTAATTTCTAGGATCCCTCAGTCTTTTTACTGCCAGCACAACTGACTGCAGTTAGCTATGACTCCCTCTAACTCTCTCCAAAAGGTGTTGCCATTTGAAGTGAGGGAGGAGATTGCTTCCCTCACAGCCATTGTTTTTCATGCTTTATCTATGCAAAACCACCCCAGCTGATTCTCTTCTGCCTTGCTCTTCCCTCTCTGTCACAGCACAATGCTGTGCACCCACCTCATGCACCAGCACCTCCCAAGTCCATGGCAGGAGCTGCAGCTCTCCATTCTCTGCAATGATCTTCACTTGGTTGCATGAAATGAGAGAAAAGCCCAAGGCCAGAAAGTAAAGGCAAAGACCAAAGACAGCTTTTCTGGGGCTTCTCATGCAACTTCTCTGCTAAAAGGCAAAAGCACCACCTATTCTGGTTTTCCATACCAATATCACATAATATCATCTTCATTTTATTTTTCTTCACTTCCTTGAAAATGAGACACTTTAGAGCTCATTATTTCCATATTTTTAAAGGTGAAAGTATGTCAGCTAGAGTTCTCATCATGTATATGGATCCTGGATAGTACTGTTTTACATTTTCCAGAGACTTGCTCTTGTATTAATTTCCTGCTTGCTTAATGAGTAGTCAGAGACTGATAATTTTACCACATGGCCTAATCCATTCTGAAATTTGCTAATGATACACAGATGGTGCTGCTTGCAGATGATTCCTCCTTTCCTTCAGTTCTCTATGGTAAAACAAATTTCTTTTTCTTGAATTCTCTGAAAAATTCAAACAGATTAATGTTAGGCACAATATTCCCAGAAGCACCAAAAAATAGTCTGTCTATATGACAGGGTTTTTTTCCTTGCCTTGAATGATAACTTTCATCAAATTCTTATGATTCCACTTTATCATCTTCTATGTAAAGTTATTGTTGGGTTATAATTGGAAGTAAGTAGGGGAGTAGAGAATTCAATGTATAACCTCCATTAACATGAAAAGTTTTTCCCTTGCTATGTTATTTCTTTATGACGAGTAAAAGGAGTTTAGTAAGAACCTCCATTTTAGTCATAGTTTTATGTTACAGAGCAGAATAATAGATGGAAATCCTTTTACAGATATTGCCTCTATGTGAGCATTAGAATGCCTTATACACGATAAGTTTTATTTACTGCTGGTGGAACTGCTCCCGAGTAGCAAAAAGCCCCGAGTTTATTTCTTGGTCTCTGTACATTTACTTTTTACAACCTCAAAAATGTTATTTTATTTCTATCACACTTTTGCTAGGTTCACAAGTATGTCTGGAAGCTGCAATTTGGGTCTACTTTGATCTTTATGCTATTGAAAAAAATTCTAGTATCACAGCCTGTCATGGAAAAATGGTTGTGTGAAAATATAAAGGAATTGCATAAACAGATTATGAATTCTTTTCCCTTTCTTAGAGAATGGTGCAGGTGCATCAGAAGGAAGTAAAAAATTCTTCACTAATTTCAGTTATATCTCTTTTCACACAATAACTGTAACATGCATAAATAAATTTAGGGCTTTCAGATTATAAACTCGTTGTGAATGTAATTTTATATACATAGAAATAGAGAGAAATATAAGAAACTTAAAAGGGTATTTGTGGGAGTGCCAAACAAATGACCATGGAAAGGAAAATATTGGGTCTTGAAAAATCTGATATTCCAGCTTCTCCGAGAATTTCCAAGTATCTCTAAATTAGAACTGACAAGGTATATAGAGATCTGGAAAAAGTTCAGGAGGATACCTGTGTTAATTACTTGGAAGAGTCAGAGAGAATGAGGCCAATTTGTTATCCAGATCAATATGTATTCTTTTAAATTCTGTTGGTGTATCAGCCATTTATTCTTTGAAGTGACTCCAAGTTACTCTGCTGTTGTTTCCAAGTTGTATGTGAGATCTAACTGCGATTTAATCATGTGCTCAATGAAAAAGCTCAAGCCAGGCAAAAGAAAATAATGATGGTCACCGTGGAATTTTTAAAAATGTGCAATTTCTGTTTTCCACAGTCACATGGAGTTATTTGAAATGTGATTGTATATTTAGCTAGATATTTTAAACTTTGTATCAAATATAATACAACAATATTCATTGACATCAATTATGTTCAATATGTAATGTCAAGCTGCATCTCAACTACCAGATATTCAAGAACTTATGATGGAAAGCTCTTATAATTTCTAAATCAATGGTAAAATGTTTTAGGAGGTATTAAGTAACCTTTTAGTTCCTCTGCTTTGGGTGTATGCCAGAAGAAAAAGCACCAAGAACACTCACACGGGTTTTTCAATTGGAGCACTTGCCTTTAGCTGATAACTGTTAATTTTGATTTTTAACTATAAATAGAAATATTACAAGCAGTTCTTAAGGATGTAGTCGTGTAAGCTCTATGCTTTATTTTCTTGCTTGCCTTTTTATCTTCTGCAGTCGTGGACTGTATGGAATTGACAGCATGCCAGACCTGCGAAGGAAGAAATCTTTTCCCATTGTTCGAGATGTGGTGAGCAACTTCTGAAACTTGATTTGTTTGCCAGTTGTGTAGGTCTGTCTTGTAATTAGTATTGTGCATCTGAATGACAGTTTGCAACAATTGTTTTATGGGAAAAAGGAGCCTTGAGAGAATGGATTGAGGGCAGTAAAAGTCAATGAGGCAGTTGTTATAATGGACTAGATAAGTCTGAATATCTCATTGGATATTTAGGTATTACTTGTGTAATCGAGTAATGTGCATTTCATGCAGTGAGAATCTACTCGTTTTCACAGAGATGCTATCAAGTGTTTGGGATATTTTTCTCTGATTTATTTTGATACTGAAAGAGAGAGAGAGAGTTCCTTTTAAAAACAGCCCTTTTCACTATTAATATTTTAAAGATTATTATATATTTTAGGTACAAGGTGAGATTATCAGGGGTTTTAACAGTCAGAAACAAGAAAAATTCAAGAAAAGAATTTTCAAAGTGGAAAATAATGGCAGCTCCTTTGAGATTTATTCTGACTTCCCGTCTAAACAAGATTAAGTAGTCTCTCTGCTCCAGAGAATTTCAAGTGCTATTCACATTTCTCTTTTTCTTTTCCTATCGTATAGAATTCATAATTCAATACAATATATATTTAGTATCTGATGATGGTGAGCCCCCAAACCAATTTCTCACTGTAAAGAAGTGATTGGGTGTTAGGCTAAGTGAATGATTATTATTGTTGTCATTAAAAGATCAGCCTTTGCCAATTATCGCTCAATGTTTTCTCAGTTTCTGTGTTCAGTTTCTTTGTGGTGATCCACCACACTGTCAGCAGTCAAAAAGAGAAAGTACAGCAACCATTTTAAAAGAGAATTCCTTCTGAAATTGATGAAAAGTTACACTGTACAACATAGTAGAGCCTGCATTCATTTAAATCATCTTTTTGACAGCAGCCACTCCACTATTAGTTGTATTAAACGAGTAAAGTCTATTGTCCTGCTATGACACTTTAATGCATGTTAAATGATACTTTGCTTTATTCTTCATTGTTGGAAGTGCTTACAGAAAGGTATAGCTCAGACATCAAAATAAATGTAATTGAACCTTTTTTATGCTTACTTATGACTGTTTCAGAAAAACAGAAATAATATTGTTAGAAATGAGTGCTGGACTCTTGAGACGCTGACTAAAATATAATTTCTTTTTTTTGTGCAATAAATCTGACAAATTAATATTGTTTATAATTTCTTTCCTATCTTGCCTGGATTTTTAAGGCTATGGTAAGTACTTTTATATTTATAAATGTTCATAGTAACTGTTATGGATTCCATTAATCTTGTGTTTTATTATGACCTTCTATTGGAAAGTTTAAAAATTATTTTATGACCAAGAATTTAATAATAATGTAAGTGGTGCCTTATGTGAATGTGTTCTCCCCTGCATCATGCCAAAACTCTTAGAAAATGTTTATGTTAAAATGTTATCAATGTATTCCAAATATCTTTTCTGATGATACATGCACAATGCTTAGGTCTCAAGCATGAAGCTTCCCCTGTGGTACTGGAAAGTCTTAGATACCTAGAGAAAGAGAAGTTCAAAGTGTTCTTTACTTTTAAATTCTCTTGTATCAATCAAATATATTTTTCTTTATTTTTCTAGTCCCTCTGCACTTCCAGTTTCACTCCATTATTTTCATGCTTTCAGCATTTTATCTCAATATAACGTTTATCAAAATTCTGTATATTATGTATATTTTCTTAAGATGATATCTCTGACTCCCATTTGTTTCCACGAATTCACATTTTTAAAAATCCAAATTTCAGCACAGAAGCACAGAATATGTTGAGGTGAAAGAGACCCACAAGGATCATCAGGTCCAATTCCCAGCCCTGCATAGAACCATTGCCAAGAGTTACACCCCGTGCCTGGGAGTCCAAACACTCCTGGAACTCTGGTGCTGTGCCCACTGCCCTGGGGAGCTGTTCCAGTGCCCAGCCACCCTCTGGGGGAAGAACCTTTCCCTGATACCCAACCTAAACCCCCTGACTCAACTTCAGGCCATTCCCTGTGTCCTGTCACTGTCACCAGAGAGCAGAGCTCAGTGCCTGCCCCTCCTCTTCCTCTCAGGAGGAAGCTGTACCTGCACTGAGGTCTCCCCTCAGTCTCCTCCAGGCTGAACAGACCAAGTGCCCTCAGCCGCTCCTCGCATGGCTTCACCTCCAGACCCTTCACCATCCTCACTGCCCTCCTTTGGGTGCTCTCCCCTTCTAAACTGCTGAAAAGGTTTTGTATGCTAATGCATTGGGAGTCTCTGCTTATTTGAGATTCAGTCATTAGAGAGGATAAGGCAGTCAAAATCCACCTGCAGGAACAATTCTCTGCTGCAGTCACGGGTCATTATTAGACTTGCAGTGGAATATGTCTGGTACAGGAGAGAGAGTGTGCAAGGAGAAGTGATGGTTCAAGTGCAGTAATAATACAGACAGCATGGACAGATCTCTGTTTATTGTGGAGCCAGGAAAAATAGTCCAGCGCACTTGGAATTGCTGCAACTTCTGCTTTTTCAAAAAAGTTATTCTCGTTTGGATTACTTAGAGCTTGAGTTGAAGTGAGAACAACCAGGAAGAGAAATATCAATAATTACAGTGGAGGTTAGAAGTTTTTAACTCACAGGGGCCAAATAGGTGTGATCTGCCCAGCCATAGCCAAAGGTAGCTCTATTTTACTGTCTGCTTCTGTTAATGCCAGTCATTACTTTGAATGTTATGGAGACTCTAGAAAATTCTTGTGTTTATTCAGTTTAAAGGTGATTTTATACTGTAATCAGGCAAATTTCTTCTTTTGATCAATAAAGACTGTATTGCTCCCTAGCTTTATTATTTGATTATAAGAGCACAAAATAATTTGTGAATCTTTGCTGCTGTTGTAAAGCAGTCTGTTGAAGTGAGCACACCAGATGAAACAACTGCCTGTTTCAGCTAAAATGATAATGCATTGGAACTTTTTTCTGCAAGTGTCTCCACAAAAAAAACCCAACATTTATAGAGGCTGGAATTCAAATATGGTAAATTAAAGATTCATATAAAAAGAGATTCATTTAAATTGCAGATGTCATATTCTCTGCTTTTGTATGTTGTCAGCTAAATACCTGGACTGTTTTTCATTAATTCTGCTATCAGCAGTCCATTTTCTTAACTCCTTTAATCATTGATATGCAAATTCAGTTCTATTCCTAATAAAATATTCTTATATTAAGCAGATAAATAATGAAATAGTAAGTATTTGTATATTTGTGAGGGCTTTTTAAGTCTACTAAATTGAAATCATAACAATATCATTATCTTTGAGCCTGGACAGATCATGCTTTTGTGTCTGTGCTACAGATAGGAAGAAAAAGCAGATGATATTACAGTTATGTCCAGTAATGATTGTGCAGTGGAGCTGAATTGCCATTTTTTCGAAATCTGTTTTCTGGGCTTAATACTGCAGTTCTGTTGACAATTTCACGATTAGACATCAACCTTTTATTTTGAAAAATTTTGGGACAGGGCTAAGTAATTTCTCTCAGTGACTTACTTCCTTTCAAGTTATTTTTTCCTCCTTCCTACTCCCCTCCACCCCAGCACCCCAAGAAACGTTACAAATCTGTCTTCCCAAATAATAAAGTTGAGATCCCTGGAGTGATATACTCGTAGTTGCTCAAAAATAAACAGTTTTAAATTTGTGCAGGTTTTAAATGCTGTAAATGGTGAAATTTCATTCATTCACCTCTAGTGGGTAACTTTTACATCACATTAAAAATAATGTCAACATCTGTAAAGTGATAAAAATGGTTTGTCTTCAGCTTTTTTTCTTCCTGCTATAGCAGGCTGTAGATTTTTTTAAAGGAAACAAGAAAAGATGGTCAAGAAAACGGAAACCCTCTGTAAGACCAGAGGAATGAGTATTGCATGGCACAACCAATAGTCATGAAGTAACAGGAGCCTGACTGTTCCTCTGTGCTATTTTAGTTGTGCAAGACACAGCTTGCCTATTTCATTGTGATAGAGCACTTCTTTTTTTTTTTTCCTCAACACAATTGATCATTTAACATGTAATTGTAGATTGAGTCTAATTTGCTTTTACTTAGTCACCGTTTTTCAATGTTTTTGCTAGAATGACTTCTAATTGTATCAATTTATGTATTTAAGCTGCTAAGGCAAATTTGGAGGTAATAAATTAGACAGTGTAGATACAAGTTATTAGGTAATCTAGAAGGCCTTGAGCGTAAAGGAGACTAATTTATTTTAAATCCTGTATTAGAGAGTTGCAAAACAAATTAAAAATTAAATAGGCAATGATCTGCTTTATCATCTTCTCTATTGTTTGAGGTTTTTGCTAGGCTTTTTAGTTTTGATAATTTTTTTCATATGTTCATAATTCAACAGCACTTAGGTTTTTTATGCTCTGCAGGTCAAATTTTTACCTAAGGAAAGACATGAGGTAGTATCTGGACATCAGTTTGAGAGGGTAAACAAGTATGAACTGCTGACAAGTTCTGTGTCCTGTTAAAGGAGAGGGATGAAACACTGAAGGTTCCTGTTGCTGTCCATATTCTTTTGATACCCTGACATTTTAGACTTCCAGGAAGTTCCAGCTGATGAGCTGCACTTACCTTTCTTTCTTGCTGCTACCTGAAAACAGAGAGGCAATAGGGGAAGAAGTTTCCTTGTTATGTTCATAACCTGTCACCTTGTTTCCCATAGATAAATGTGGCAGGTTTTTCCCCTTTCTCTTTCCAAAATGCTCACTCCTCCTTGTTTCATTCCATACTTAAGAAGTGACACTGCTATGTGTTCAATGCTTCATGCTGTTGAATTATCACCAGCTTCAGTGTTTTAGAACAGAAGCATTTTGTGGGCTTTCTCTTGAAGATGTAGTTTGTTCTGACAGTGGTACATAAATGGAAATAATCTTTGTGGGTTTTTTTCCACCAAAATCCCTGTAAATGTAATTCATCTGACTGTTAAACTTACTGGTTTGTCACAAATCTCTCTAGATATCATGTTCTTCCAACACAACAAACACTTTATTAGAACAGCCTAATTATCTGTTTCCTATTAGGTTTTGTTATTTTAAATAGGGCACTGTACTATAATTTTAGACACATTTCTGTTTAAGAAGCAAAATAGTAAAGCTCCACGATTCCAAGGGCACCCCTTGGGAGAACTGAGCTTGAAGGACACGTGACAGGTCAAAATTGCTTCCCCATATTTTTTGTCACAAGAAATAGTATCTGTTTATTGACTTACAGTGATAGCATGAATCTGCAGTTCTGCTGGCTCATGTTCTTTGGTATTGCTGGAGGACAGAGCACAGCAGCAGCCACTGCCCTATATTTGAGGTTAATGTTCTTATGCCCTTTGTGCTTCTGTCCTGCCAAGTCGTTCACATTGCTCTATTGCTTGGAATGGCTAGGATTGTGCAATTGAGACCTAAAAGGGTCAAATCCCTTCCTACGTGTAAGGGACATAAAAAGCATAAAACTAGCATAGTGCAGGCAAGTAAATCTACATGGGTGCTTGGCAAGACTTTGAGAAAAAACCTGTGCTTCAAGAGGGATCGAAAGGCTGATGCTTTTCAAGTGCATTGTTTTAACACCAAAAACTCTACTGATTATGAAAATTGTTTATTTTCCTCTTAATGATCCAAAAGCATTTTTACTTGCCATTTTTAACTTTGATATGTGGGTCTTGTAGCACTGGGTTTTGACACAAAAAGAGTGAAAAAACAAAGCCTGAACACTGTTTAATCTTTCCTGTGACTTTGTCAATCTCACTGGCATACACCCATGGAATTTCCCACGTTCACAAAAATAGAATGAAAGGATGGTCACAGAGAAGTAAACAATTATTTACTTAATAATAACAGAATGGAGAATCTGGCAGCAAATTAATGGCATAGAGTTGGTAAATTGCTGCATTTAAAAGTGGAAAAAAAAAAAGGAGGGTTCTTTTTAATAGGAGAGAGATTAATTGAATGCTACTAAGCCAAGGATGATTTCTCACCCTATAATTGGTTTCACAAGATTAATAATTCTTTGTCAGTCTCCAAGTTTAATTATTATCAAGAGAAACTTATTGAAAATTGAATCAGGGAAAGTGAACATTTAAAATTAAAATTGAACAGTCTTATAAATAAATAAATAGAAATCCATTTTAAATATACCAGTGTTTAAAATTATATAATTGGAAGAAATTGGAATTGTCTCTTCATCCAGGGATTAATGGTGCAGTTCCTTTGCTGATGTAAGCCTAAATTTCTTCTGGCCCAGCATGCATTTCACAAAAATAAGAATGTCAAGTAGAAAGTATCATTTAAAATTTTGCTGTAATATTTCTATAATGATGAACTATAGAGACCCACTTCACAGTTAGATGAAAATCTGCATCCTCACAACAAAGGCAACAGACTTATGGTTAGTGGGTGGTATAATTGATCCATACAATGCTAGACTGTGAGGGCAGCAAAGCATGACAAAGCAGATAGTGGATGACAGAAGAACAGAGATAAGGCACAAGTGTACAAACACACTTGGAATGATTTAGAGTAAGAGAAAGGAGGAGTGAAAGCAACACTGCAGGTGCAGTCCAGTAATATTACAGTGTTATGGTTGATATTGTACATAATGGAATAAATCTCATCTGTTTCTGTCAGGCCAAAGGATTATTGATAGCAGAAGTGATATTCAGATTTGAAATATTATTTGTAAAACACACAGAACTCATTCTCCCAGGGGCCTTTCTGATCATCATACTCACTAGTTAATTCTCAAGGACTCGTTTAAATTTCTGGAGTGTTGCAATTAGGAATATAAAATTTCCTTTTTTATTGTGTATTAAAATTACTTTATTTTCAGTCCCTTTTTATGTACCACTACAGCAAAAGATTTCATCTCTGCAACTGAGTGCATTATCTTCAGAACCAGAAGTTGTCTGTATACCACTAATATCATGTGACCAAATGAGGACAGATTGATACAGATCCTGTCTCAAATAACCAGAGTATTTCTCCATATAGCTATCCATAGTATTTAATTAATATTGCCTTTAAGGAAAATAATACTTTAATATTTCTTGAGGTCTGTTTATTTAAGTAGCATTTTATATACATACACAGAGTTTAAAAATGCTCAGTGAGTTACAAAAATTATCCAGACTGACAACTTGAACCATAAGACTACTGCAAAATGATCTTCCATGTTGCTGCAGGCAGCTTCCAAATTAGGGCAGGATGCCTATCCTTGTACTACATTAATTTGGTTGGCAAAGCAGAAAAACAGTGACAGCCTGTGGTTTAAAAAACCTGAGTCACAAATCTCTGAATACCAGGATTTGTATTAGAAATGGCAGTTCAGCTGGACACTGCTGAAAGAAACAGTAATAATGGTGGAAAGTATACTTCCATTATGTACTGAAACCCTAAAAATTTTGAGCTGCATACGTTAACTAATAGGTTTTGTATCTTCTACAGTTTAGTTTACATCCAGTAGTTTAAAGTATTATTTGCCTTCCATTAGATTCAACAGCTGGTGTTACTTGTGTAATTGGTAACTCTTTTGCATTTGCCTTTAAACAGACACTTGCAGCTCGAAAATCTGGTATTTCCATGGCCATGCTCATCCGGACCTCCATAAACACTGATGAAATGGTAAGTGTTTTCAATGACAGGTTTAAGATTTTTAAGTAAAAGAGAAATTTTTGTTTAAAGATCCCTAAAAATTATTTCAGCCTTACACACTCCAAACTGGATGAAATGGAGTGTATTCCATTTATTGTGTAGGAACTTCCAGGGAACCTGTGCAGAATTTGCTGCCTGATATGGCTGAACTGAAAAAAAAGCAATAATTTGAAGAAATACAGGCCCATTTTGTGTTCCTGAAATCGCTAGTGCATACATAACCTTCTAAAATACACCCTATTCTGAAGAAAAATGAAGAGTTGAATTTTTCTTACACTGTTCTTAAGGTCCATAGCAGAAGAATGAGAGAACAAGAAATACTGACAGAGTGTTCTGGGGACCGGAGCACGTAGGACAAAATTGACATCCATCAATCTCACCTGGTTTATTGTGAACTTTCTGTGCTTATATGGTAATCATAAAGTTATGATTTGGTGGTGCTCAGGGATAGATTGCTGAGGTAGAAAACAGCTGTTGTTTGAAATGTTCTTCCAGTAGAGGCAGCAGTTGTTTTATTCTGCTATCTCAAAATAGCAACAAAGGTTAATAGAATGGAAAACTATGGGGTCTTAAGGAGTTTAAGGCTGAGGGAAAATTATAGAGGAAGAACTTATGGCATCCAAGTGCTACAAAATAAAGACATTTTTCAGCTTTGTTATACTTTGTACCAAAATAGATGAGTTCAGTAAAAGGCCCTAAAATACTCCATGTACTTTACTAAAAGATGTTTACTGAACAAACAATATTATATATAAGGATAACTACCTTTTATGGAAAAAAACTACAGCTTCATCTATTTATTTACATGCCTCCTCTCAGGTTCTGACTTTGAAGGGCTAAAGTTGCAAGTTTTGGAGATAATCTTAATTGCCTACAAAGGCAGGACAAGAAAGAATAATTTGCACTTACAGATTCTTACATAAATGGTCCTGTTCAGGAGGAAAAAAAAAAGGTAGCAAATCCCAGTGAACAGTCCAGTGCAAACATATCTCTAGTGCTCGCTGTCAACTAGAGAAACTTCTGAACTCTGATTCAGGAGAAATGGAAGGGAAAATTCATTTGTATGTATTTTTACACCTCTATATTATTTGGCCTCCATTTGAACTGTGCCATATGAAAAAACCTGTGTACCAGAAATAGTTCCTTCTTAAGAAATCTTGACATAAAAATGTGAGTCCAAAGGCAGACAGCAAATGTAATTTAGACACATGAAAGTTCATTTGATGGGAAAATGTAAAAAGCTGATTCAGAGTAGAGGTGAATGTGAGATGCCAGTCCTATGCCAGCCCTCACTACACACACCAAGGGGCAGGGAGTGCTCTTTCACAGACAAATATAAAGGTAAGCCAGTAAAACCTCTTACAAGATATTTAGACAAAGGGAAAAGCACTACTTTTCTACTTTTCTAGGTAGTAAGCCAAACTTAATAACCTAGGGCATCATTACACTGGGTAGAAAGATTTGAAAACGAAAAGGACAGGCATTTTCAGGCATAAAAGAATTCTCCAGATACTCTCCACAAAATGAAGATGTGAAATGCAGATGAAGAAATGGAGTCACCAATAAAAGTTAAGGAAGAAACATCCCCTTTGGGCAAGTTATTCCTCTGATTAAGGCTTTTCTAGTTTTTACCCTCCCTCAAGTTTTTCTAGAGAGAGTATTAGTGACTCTGGTGGGTGTGGGTTATTTGGCTGATTAGATTCAGTATGAAAATTCTTTGAACTAATGCCTTTTATTAAAACTGAAGTGCCACCTACTCAAAAAATTACACCCCGAGGTTAAGGCTTTGAGCTTTGCCACCTGTCACTGCTATCCTTCTGGTACCACACAATCATGGCACAGTGAGTTTGTGTGTTCTCAAGCACAGATTCAAAGACATTTTAAGCAGTGTAATGCTTTCAGTTGAGCACCCATTTTATTGCTTTGTTGAACAAAGACAGAGCTGCACATTTTTGAAAATTATACATCAATGACATCAACAAGTATTTCAGGTAATATATGACACAAGTAAATTTCCCTTCAGAGGATTAAGCAGATAACTAAATAATTGTCCTATATATTAGTAGTGCTAAATGTTGCCAAACCAGTTATTAGTTATATAGTTATATTGGAAGTTATTAGTGCCATGTAGTTATGCTTTGTAATTCACATAACAAAAACATTTAAACAGAGAAGAGTAATAGGATTGAAAGCCTCTAGACAGTAAGAGAAATAAAGTTCTCCTTTGCAATTTGCTTTATTAACAACAGGGGAATGAACATGTTCAACAGCAAAACCAATCTACAAATTGTGTCTTTCAGCTGAAAATTTCATTTACCTTCAAATGGTTTTTTTAAGGCCTGTTGAGGGTAAATTTTATTACTTAGTGACATTTCAGAAATATTTAAAGTTTCTGGCAAAATTCCGGAAGTATTTATAATGTGAAAAATATTGAAGCTGGACAGGGTGAAAGAGCAGGATTTGTACTGAGGCTAGATGAGCTCAGGAGTGGGAGTGTAATCAGTGGTTTCTGAGAAACATGATTCCTCAGCAAACTGTATAAATTCACTTTAGGTTGCTTTAAAGTTTCCTTTCTGGTTCCTGTAACATGAAAGGCAAAAGTGGAGTAATGTACAAAAATGTGTTCTCCAGAGTTAGGTGGCCATTACTGTACAGTTCTTAGGGTCTGCCAAATCAAACTGGTGCACACCTTTGCTTGCTTTCAGGGCAGTTATTAGGATAAGCTAAGAAGCACCCTAGAGAGCAATATGTTTTTAGTCTTTATATGTTTTTAGTTTTTAGTAATCAGGTGTTTTTTCTTAGTTCTGTTCTACAGTGTTCTCAGATGTGCTCAGGCCAAATGCCCATGAAATGTCTCTGGCCAGGCTTCACAGGATGGATATTGTTTTCTGCAGTAACTACTAACTTCAATAAGAGCTGTTGCAGCCTAAGCTACCTAATATTTTGTTATTTTTGGTGCTTGACCCTATGAATCAATGGCTACCCTATGGCTACGTGGTACTGTTTTTCCCATGGTAGCAAAAGTCCTTTGATTGATGACTCTGTGCAACATTATCCATATATGCACAACAAAAGAATATTTTACTTTTATCAGACAATCTATTATTAATAGAATATCTCACAAGTTTGAGTAGAGATGCAGGTACATAACACCAATAATATGTCAACATATTTTCAGACAGGTTAATATCTTCCATTTGGCATGCAATTACCACAGCTGAATATTAAAGATAAGGGAATGTTAACAAATGCTTAACTGAGTAAGTTTGCCTTGCTTCCTATACTGTCAGAACTGTGGCAGCGATGTTAAAAACAAATGTAGACAGCACAAATTCCAAAATCTTATTCCCTTGCTACAGCTATATAGCCAGCATTAGAGCCACCTTAATAATATCCACACCAGAGCAGGACAGGAACGGACAGACAGACTTTCAGAAATAGCCCACCGTGATATGTTTTATGATACAGTTTCTTCTTTCTAAAATAAACAATTATTCATTTATAAGGGAATGAATCTAGAACTTCTAATCCATTCATGGCAGTCACACGTGAGTTTAGCAAACACCCGCCCCCTAAAAAAGACACAAACAACCTAAGCTTGGTGCTAAGTGCTGCCTACAGGCTGCTGAGCTCTTTTTATTCCCAGTCAATTGCCTGGACCTGGAACATTGGGGTGCCTGAAAAAAAGCTCAAATAAACAAACTTATATGTGCCCATATAAGCCAAGGTCTTGTGTGCAAAACTACAGGGACTGCTTTGTTTTCATCTTACTAAGCCCTAAGGAGCTGAGCCTGAGGTTGTTACAATTCTAATCAGTAAAAAGCCAATGAGAGCTCTTGTAGTAGAACTAACTAGTCATGGGTCTTAACTCAAAACAGTCCAAGAAATGGGTTTGGATTTTTGAGAGTATGGATCATTCTTGTCTATAGTAAAAAGCAACTTGATGCTTAAAGATGAAGTAATAAGTATGCTATTATAGGAATACAGATAAAATGGAACCCTATATTTGGCTTGCTTTTATTTGATGAGATTATATATACACTTGGTATTAGAAGATCGTGTTGAATATAATCAAAAGTCATTTTATGCAATGTGTCTAAGTCCCTATAGGAAGTATTTAAATTAACGGAATTAATATTAGGTAGCTACTCAGGATGCCCCAATGAATGTAATGCTGTTTTTATTTATTTATTTATTTATTTTATTTCTGCCTCAAGATATAAAAAGACATATATAAGACTTTGTGTTAATTGAATAAGTTGATTCCAACCTAACTCTGCTGTTTGTGTAATCAGACAAAACAGTCATGCAGAGTTCTTTTCAAAGTATAAAGCAAAATTAGTAAATCAGTATTTTGCAAATTATTTTATACTTCTATGTATATTCTGATATTTTGTAACATTTTAAGTGTAAATGGCATATGGTTTAGAAACAGTTCACTGGTGTTAAACAATACAGCTGAAGTATTTTTTTTCTTGCCGAACAGAAAATACATGTCTTCAAGAAGACCCTGCAGGCTTTGATCTATCCAATATCATCAACTACACCTCATAACTTTGAAATCTGGACAGCTACAACTCCCACATACTGTTATGAATGTGAAGGCCTCCTTTGGGGCATAGCCAGACAAGGCATGAGATGCACCGAATGTGGTGTCAAATGCCATGACAAGTGCCAAGACCTCCTAAACGCTGACTGTTTGCAGAGTGAGTATTTAATGACAGCTGAACTGTTGTATTAATTCACACCTTTTGATTTTGTGTGCATGCTCAGCTGAAATGAAGGACCAAACCACCCCAAATCAGTGAAGGTGTGTTGATGCTCCTCAGCTGAGAAGCTAGCCAGAAGCTTTATGGAAAACCTACTGTTAGTTATGCTTTTGTCCTTGAAATCTGTCCAATGTTGCTGGGCATTTACGAAATCATTCTTGCTAATATCAGTGAATTATTTACTTTCCACTGCCTATGGCAATATCTGGAGCAATTTATTACTTCACATAAACCCTCTTTGTTTTACTTAACTCAAAACACAAAAATCGTCAAAGGAAATATTAATAAATATTCCTGCTACTTACAGTAGTCATATTGATGTGCTATATAATAGTCAAAAATATAGAACAGTAAGTAGGATTTTGTCCATTCAAAATACTAAATCCTGTAGGTGTAAGGGGGGAAAAATTATTCTGTAAGCCATTTGGCACTAGAATAAAGGCAAAACAACCTTTCCTTTGTTTATTCCTTGCTCAGCTTGGTTTCAGCCACCATGCATTCTCCTGTGAAAATATATCAGGTGTATTTAAATGATTCTTAAACTACAAGACAATTATTATACAAGATTCTAAGCAATAGAAAATCAAGACCTTTAAGTTTTCTGATATTCTGATTTTGGAATGGAATGGGCTTCCATACTCTGGAGTTGTTTAGCACTGTTCACTGTTGATATGTTCCAGAGCTTCTACATGTAGGAAAGCTGCATAGATATTTCACTCAGTTTTTCTTTCTTTTCACTGTGTTCTCTGTGTGAAGAGCTGTCATGAGGGATGCATGCTCAAGATTTGTACTGCTCAGGAATTAATTACAATTTCCCAGAGCAACTGACCCCATGGAGAATAAATCAGTGATGAATTTCTAATCAAACTTCCTAACTGTGCTTAACTGTGATTCTGCACTGTGGTTGAAACTGGGCTGTTGTCCCCTGGCCCATATCACCAGCCCCACTTCAAAAAACAACATTTAAAAAATCGTTCAGAGCACCGTGATGCATTTGATGCATTTTTGCAGGTATATATGGACGATAAGTCTGAGAGGATACAAAAAATAAATAAGATTGGCAGACATCTGTGGTATGAACAGTTTGAAAACATTGAACAACTGAGTTTTAAAAGAGCAAAACCTCTAGGCAGCAAATTGCAGATAAAATATTTAACATGCCTAAGGGATTCCACTCTTCTCATTAGTATGCAAATGTTTCTGAGCATCCTGTCATATTTTTTGCAACAGATTAATTGTTTAGCGTTCATAGTATACTACTTTGAAAATTTCATGTCCCTTGTTTTCCATTGGAAAATGAAAAATGAATTGACCAGTTGGTTAAATCTCTATTTCTGAGAAAGCTGATGCTAACAGTGTCATAAAGTGCAATGTAGTTATTTTTATCATAGTCATCCTTTTGCCCATCTCATAATCAATAGGATATATTGGCCTTCAGACTTCTGTGGTTTATTGTTGTTAATATATAATGATTGCTAACGTAGACTGTAGAAATGAATTCACATCTCAAGATTTTTAGGGTCAATATATAAAATTGTTCTAAATTAGATTTAGAAAAAAAACAGTGACACTTTCATTAGCTCTCTCATCTTCTATAAGAGATCCCTTTCTATTACTAGGTGCAATATTAAATTAGAATTGATTTCAATTATGTTGAGTTTGTATCAGTCCCTAGGGCAAAAGTAGCTTGTTAACTTCGTGTGCAATGTAAGTTGCACTATTGTCTTAATTAGTTTGATCAATACTGCACGAAGAGTTGTTGATAGACAGCAGTAGAGGTTGTCAGCAAGTAGGGGATGTAAAACTAGTTACAATCAATGAGTATAAAGAGAAAGATATTTACTTAAAGGAAGTTGTATTTTAACACATATTTCAGTTTTATCTGTGCTGTCTCAAAAATCAGCAAGGTTTCTAACAGGAATATGTTATTGCCATTCAGGTTGTGCCCAGGGTTTATCGTTCAGTTGTGTTGTTGCATTTGTACTTTCTAAGGAAGGGCAGAAAATAAGAGAAAATGAAAAAAGTTCCCTCCTGCGTCTTCTGAGAATGACCTGTCATGGTTTCCAGGCAGCTCAGCAATCATCTCTTTTGTAATAAAATCACTAGAGAATTTTTAAACTGGTATTTTGTTTCATAGTAGCACATAATTCTATTTCTACTAATTCCTAATTTTTCAGTCTGGATAATCTTTAATCATTAGAATTTTGGTCTTCTATATTAAAAAAGAAAAGTACTCTGACCAAGAGATTTTCAAGATTTCTCAAGATTCAGTAGCCATGAAAAACCCCTTGAAGAAGACATATACTTCAGCCTTTTGGGATCCCTGGTATCTGGTGTTTCAACGCACACTTCTCCAATCTTATAACATTATGCCTCCCCACTTTACATCTCTCTCTCTATATAGATTTCAGTTCTCCTCCAATGTGCTAAGAAACCTTCAAATACATTGAAAATTGAAGAAAGGAAGCATATAATATTTGGTTTGTAGGACTTCACTGAAATTTTAAGCTGAAAGATGACCCTTTCCAGCTCTGTAGAGTTGAAATTCCTTCTTTAGCCATTACAAGCTGAGTGCCTCAACAAAAATTCTTTCAAAAGAACATATTGGTGTTTGATGGTATTGTAAAGATGGAACTCCATGCTTCTTCAGTGTTGAAATATCTGAATTATAATTGCATAACAAATTGTTCAAAATTATTTTGTTTTAATTTTACTAACCCTCTGAAGGGAAAAATAATACTTTAATCTTCCCAGGATTTGAGGATGGCTAGTTGCATGATGTTTACACAACTTTTTAGAAGAGTGAAGCACTTACTGCTGCTAATGATAATGATGATTCTAATATTCAGTGCCACAAGTCTTTGAGTAGTGCTTAACAACATGAGCCAAAATTCAGCAATGCCTATAGCAAGTGGCAGTGTGTCATTGATTATAATTTTTTTAGTATTTTTCTATCTTGCTTTATATGTTAATTTTGTCAAGAGTTGAAGTAGCCTGCAGGAATTTAAATTTTTGCTTCCTACCATTCTGATCATACAAGTCTGATGTTTCTTTTCTCACACTCAACTACAAGGTAGATTTTTGGGGTTTTTTCAAGAGTATATGGTAGACACACTGATTAGAAACCTTTTCCTCTGACAGAAAAGGACATTTTATAGTGTGAACTTTCCTTTTTTTTTTAAAGGGCCTTTGAGATCAGTTGCAATTGTTAGAGAGAGAAATCTCTCCAGAGCACTTCTGAAAAGAACTGTGAATAAGATCTGCAACAACTCAGTCTCCTTAAAATCTTTTTTTTTTTTTTTAATTTGAACCGATAAACATTGTAGTGGTTTTGATGTCTCAGAAAAATTACCTAAGTTTTTCTGCCTGACAGGTGGGTTTTTCTGACCACAGGCTAATACAGTCTAAAGTATTCTCACACAGATTCTCACAGATTCTCTCAAATATCCATTGACCTCTTCTACCATCCTCATATACTCGCTGAAATTATCAGTAATGACCATTTTGTTGGAGAGGGGAACCTCTCTGTTCCATACCTGTGATATATTATTTTCCTGAGCAGGCTCTCCTTTCCAAAAAGTCTCCATAGATGTGGTGTCTAATGATCGAGTTTTGAGATCACAAATTTGTGCTTACTGCTCAGTACACATGTTGAGATATTTCCACAGTACTGATTGGTACTAAATAGCATTGGTTTAATAAATAATGTTATGATGGTAGCTGAATATTAACCCCTCATGTTGAACTAAATCAGCTGATAATTTTAGATATCACAAAGCATATATATGAGTTATTATTCAGGTGAAACAAAGATCTCCTCCATGTACTGATGTACCAAGAGTTGACTCGAGACCCTGGAGGGGAAAAAGAACAAAGTTAATTTTCAGTAACAATTGTGACCTTTTCTCACATTTCAGGAGCAGCTGAGAAAAGTTCCAAACATGGTGCAGAAGACAAAACACAGAATATTATTAGTGCTATGAAGGAAAGAATGAAGATTAGAGAGAAAAATAGACCAGAGGTGTTTGAAGTTATCCAGGAAATGTTTAATATTTCTAAAGAAGATTTTGTACAATATACAAAAGCAGCAAAACAAAGCGTTTTGGATGGAACATCCAAATGGTCAGCAAAAATAACTATCACAGGTAATTTTCTTCTGTTCTAAAAGCTCTTTCTTTCCTATTTCCCTGGGTCAGGAGCAAGATTTTTTATAAGTAGAGCTGGAATGTGTGTTCAATTGCATACTTGGTGCATCTACAAGCAGTTGAATTTACAGGATGCCAACTGCAAGAGTTGAGTTTTAAGCTGCCAAAACCATTTTATATTGTACTGCTCTGGGAAGGAAGACAAGTAAAAATAATCTGTCTCCAATAGCTCCTACATTATCTCCTATGCTAATGATGAGTTTTTTGCCACCAACTGCAAGAGTTAAAGTTCACCAAAAAAAAGGCTTTGAGTGATTAAAAAAACCACTTCAGCTTGCAATTCCAGATCCCATTGGTTTGAAACTTATTATCCATTCACATTGCTTGACTAAGAGTATGTTCCATTTTGGTGATGCTGATGTTGCATAATTCTGCTTGCTCCAAACATATTCCAGATGGCTTCCAATTGCATTAGCCTGGCTGCTCATGAAGATTTCCAGGTCCTCTGACTTTGACATTTCAGTTTTTGAATTAAAACCTCAGCATAAATGGAGGCTATTCTGAAGGTTGAGAGGTGGTGCATGAAACTCAAAAGAATAATTGTGGAATTTTGGGACTGTCACTAAGCACTAGGGACATATTTAATTCATATGTTTATTTTTAGTTCTACCTCTAAAGAATGCTGAAGGCTGTCTTGTGTTCAGGCCAGTATAATACATGCAATTTAATCCTTGGAGACTTTCGATAGACTGTCCTTTAATTCTGCTGCATAAATAGGAGAGGGATACTTCTAAAAGTATCTTGCCTTCTGAAAGTTTCCCTGTGGATTTAAAGTGAACGGAGAAGACAAAATATGCTATTTCATTTCTAAGAGTGTTTTCAGAAATTGGATGTGTTAAAGAATAGCAGAATTTTACTTCTTTTACTGAAGTCAGCACATACCATTGAACCCACACCAAGAGCTGATCTGCTGAGCAAAGTGCCATTTTTAGGTAATCATTTTTCTGAGCATGTCAAGGGAGCTTTGTTATCCAAAATGATTGACATTAGAGAATGTTAACTAAATATTACCAATGAGATGATTTAAATAATATCTGCAAAATAACAAAGCCAACTGTTGCTCAATGGTAAGAGCCAGAGTGAGTGTTTTAGCTGCAATTCTCTGGCTTTGGTAGGCTGCTCTTTGACAGTTCTACTTTCTCCTGAGATTTCCACTTTTATGAATTATGATGGAAAATCAAATTGTATGTGTTTATATTTGCCACCCAATTCATATCCATTGACTGTATACCCACATAAACTCTCAGAAAGGATAGCAAATACATAAACAGTTGATAATTGATCTGAACTGTCACCCTCTCTGTGACAGCATAGAAAGTATTCTAAAAATTATCTCTGAAGTGAACAAATGGCAAATGATAGCCTTGCCCCTCATGTTAAATTCCATAAGCCACAGGGCATATTTTCTATATTATTGGAGGTTTTACTTTGGAAACATTCGTTTGGATCATTGGAGAAATTTTGGAAGTTTTTATTTGTTTATTGGGGGGCAGGGAATTTTAGGGAACTATCAGACTCAAGACAAGGAATACAATACTATATTCCTTGCTATTTTGATTAAAACAAAATTTGAGGAAAGTATTTGAATTATGCGTGAAAAGTATTTGTTTGATGCTCAGTAGTGAATCTTTATACTTATTACTCTATTAAACTATATTTTAAAATATGATAGAGTCCAGAAGGATAGTTAGACAAACCTTGTCAATCTCCAGACATTGGGAAAATAATCTAGAAACCTTTCTTTCATGATCCCTCATTTTGAGGCCTTTGTTTCCTGTTGCTGTTGTCACTCACATTTACTTCTTGGCAATAAAGGTGCTGAGGCCTAAAACACATTTTTCTCTTTTTGTTGCAGTTCTTTGTGCTCAGGGCTTACAGGCTAAGGACAAAACTGGCTCAAGTGACCCATATGTTACTGTGCAAGTTGGCAAAAACAAGCGAAGAACAAAAACTATTTTTGGAAACTTGAATCCAGTATGGGATGAAAAATTCTATTTGTAAGTATAGAAAACGCTGTTGATATGGTTTTTTAAATCTACATTTAGATAATGTAACTCTACCAAGTGAAATATTGAATTAATTTAAAAATATGGTTTTGTACTATGCATATTCATAGCATTGTGAAATTAGAGAGATCTGAATGGAGAGAGCATCAAAATTTATTGTGGCTCTATCTTATAGTGATCATGTAGCTTATGATTAAATCTGTTTTGAGATCTGTTGGTGGTCTCTAATTATTCTAATCTTTAAGGGAACTTAAGTAACAGTTTTCATGCTTCAGCCTTACATACCAAACAAGTATTGTCATTAGAAATGCTTTCTTATGTGCAGATACTGACCACACAAGGTAAACTGTTTTTATTTGACACTGATTCTTTGAGTTGTAATTGGGGAATTTGGTAGTAACTGGTGTGCTCCAGGCTCAGGGTTGGTGTGTTTGTAATGTCCATACTTTTAGAAGACTGAGTGTTGTCTGAAAGTCAGATGTGGAGAGTATGGTATGATGGCATTGTTTAGTTTATTCTCATCTTTTTCTTCCTATAAAGAGGGAAGAGCTTGTCGCTATTCCTATCTACATAAACTGTGCAAACAATTTCTGTGACATTCAGGCATTTGAAATAGAGCCCTGTTTTCTTTGAGAAGGTGCAATGTCAAAACATGATAGGTTACCTTCCCTGGTTTTTGACCAAAATCTGCTACCTTATTGAGGAGGAGGTTGTTGTTTCAGTAAAGTTTGAAAGAGTTTTGGTCCAAGATGATGCTTCTGTTTGTCTGGAAAAGGTACTAGAGAATCCAGCTGCATTAAACAATATGTGACATTCCTTTCACAGTTTCAGACACTTGTACTAGAAATTAATAGGTAATTCAGAGAAAGCAGCCACCTAGAAACTTCTAGCTTAAGAAACAATAAGCTTCATCTATCCAGAAAGCATTGTCTTTGTGAGGTAACTGTGTTACTCGAGTAACAGTTGAAGTGTCATACCTCATTGAGTGACCAAAAGTAGATTAATTACTTTCTTGCCTTTTAATTGTAGAAAATGCATTATGTCAAAAACTAGATGAGCAATTCAGCAAATTTCATAGGAAGCTTGTTGAATGTAGTTTCTCAAAGATTTGAACAGGGCTACAATAAAATCCCTGGAAACTTGAAGGTTTTTTTCTTTTTTTCCCAACACTAGGTATTCCTATCATCTCCTGCCCTAGGAATAACACTTCTACCCCCCTCCCAAGCCTTACTATAGCATGAACTTCCTGAGCAACTGCTTTACACTGCATACATTTTCCAACATTTTTATAGCATATGTGCTTTCTGAAATAATCTCCCTGACTTATTTAATGCTTTGGATTTCAACTGAAAGTATGTGAGAATTTCTAAATTGATTAAATAAACTATAAATGTTTAATCAGAAGATTAAATCTAAAGTGAATCAATATAACTATTTAAAGGACTCAGGAAGTATTGTTTAAATTAGGCTCTATTAGTGGTAATTGATATTTAAATCCTGTTTAAAATTGAATATTAACCATCATTATAACTTTTAAATTATAAAAGGTAGAAATAAGATGTCTCAAAAATCTTACGATCGTATAGTTACTCCTTATACCAAAACATGTTTTTATGTTTCCCATCTGTTCCAAAACAAGGACTTGGAAAAAACATTGGCTCCCCACTGTGCATTTGCTCTGTCATAGCACCTGGAGTAAGGGCAGTGTTCTAGTTCTTAGAACCACACATAACCCAGATATGATTGCATGGTAACAGTGAGAGAATGTTTGTAACAAAATGTAGTCTGACCCTCAGCTAATGACCATGGGACACCGGCATGGATTTGAACAGGAGACCTCATCAAGCATAACTGAAGTAGAGCTTTTTGGTGCACAAGGTAGAGAAGTAAATAGGCCAGCAGATGTTCATTTAGTGAATGCAATATAGGTGCTAAGGGCTTTGATCCTTTCTCCTGGCATTATTAGAAATGAGATAGAAGAAGTTTGGGGGGCTTTTTCAATGAAACATCAGTGATAGGAGAGTTTTTTCAATGCCAGATCAAAGGAAGAGTCCTGCATCTGTTGCCTTCTCTTTCTGGTTGAGTGTGACATCTGATACAGCAAAAGGAACTGCATTTTCTTGGTTTTTTTGATTACAGGAAGATGTATTTTGGCTGAATCGTTTTCAGCTTTGTAGAAACCTTTCGATTGATACACTATAACAGAAGTCTACTCTCATTCTTTTCTTGACTATTTTTGACAATTGCTTACTCAAATACAGAAATCTGTTTTTTCTGGCAGTGCTGTCTAGGCTAGCACACATCTCCTAATTACCCTGCTGACTTTGCAGGTACCACATTTCCTCTGACCATTCATAAATACCTCAGATACAATTGTATAATACAGAAGTCTTTGAAATAACTGGGTGATTATTTTACATTATTTATTTTTCCTACTGTGGCTGTCTCTGAGAGAGCATAAGGGCCCTAATAAATATGTTCATTGTATTTATATTGCTACCTTCAGTGCATGAAAACATTTGCCCAAACTGATTTCAGTCATCCAGCTGTAGATATTCTTTCTTTAGAGTTACTTTAAAGCGTAGCACTTGCACATTATTTATTCTGAAATAAATTATTAGTGGATTCATTTAAAAAATATTTACTGTCGGGGCCACGAAGACTTCACCAAAGTCCCTTTCAACTGTTATTTTATATATTCTTGATCACCTGAACTGACTTTTAAAAAATATGATTAGATAACTGCTTAAATGCTGCTCCAGTTTCCAGTGATATTTAAACACAGTTCTGCCAGAATTGTTGAAATAGCTCAAGTACTGCCTCCTAAGTAAAAATATATAACAGAGAATTGTATTATATAAAACCAATTGAGTAATAAAACCTATCCATTAGTTATCTAGACTCATCCATTTTAAAAATTCTTTAATAATCAGCCAATTTTCTGAGAGACATTCTGCTAATTAAAATTACATGAGGCTGTGTATCTCACAGCCTCAGCCCAAATCAAGAGAGCAGAACACCTCTAAGAAGCAATTCTTAATTGTTTGTTCAGTGATAATGTTTTTCAGTTTCAGAGTACAGCATGCATGGTCTGTCTTTTTTTCAAACTGCTGTCAATCCAGATTAATTTTATACAACTCTCTTTTTATTATGACAGAGTAAAATAATGCAAGAAAAAGCATAATTAGTCTCATTCTACTTTATCAGAAAGCATGGCCTGTGACAACACTGCTAAAGAATTGGGACTGTCCAGACTAGAGAAGAGACAAGTAGTGGAGGTAAGGATGTCTTTAAACACATCCTTTCTCCTGCAAAGAGGAAAGGAATAATCTATTTTCCATGCTTACTGTTATAGTAGAACAAGAAGTAATAGCCACAAATTACATTTAGAGAGGTTTAAATCAGACTTCAGAAAAGGTTTGCCAACAGTGGGGCTAATGAAGTTCTAAAAGAGATACCCTGAGGGACCATGGAGCTGTCTGTGAGCACCTAAGAACAAAGAGGACATAGCAATGGAATGGCTCTGGTTCTGCCTTGCAGTAATGGCAATAATAATAAACATGAGGGGTAATAATAGCAATAAGTGGCTTCCTGAACTTACTGGAGGTAGCACAGTGTCAGTTGTCATTTTAACACTGGGTGCAGATCTCTTAGAGGAGATGTACAATCAGGTCATGCCAGTGCATCTAATATTAAATTTATATTGGATACTGTTGTAAAGATACTTTATTATTACAGTTTTATTACTCTAGCCATTAGAACGAGCTGGAATTCTGTGAGGATTATTTCATGTCTGTGCGGCATTCTGGAAATGCAGAAGTTATGTAGTGTCACCAGATTGTTGGTAAATTATTAAAACTGTCTCTTCTGTCTTGCATCTCTGAGTAGACTACAACTTCTCTAGTTTTCAGAACCATCAGTACCTTCAATTCTCTGTGTGCTAGAGAGAAATTCCTTTCTCATCTTCCTGTATCACACTTCTGTGCATGCTTTTACTGAGCATATAAAGCAGAGTGGCTAGAAGAGGAACACTGAAACTAGCATATGTTGTCTAGCCTTTAATTCCCTGGGCTGATTTTCCTGGAGTAAACAAAAGTAGGAATTCCACGCAGAGCTTCTGGACAGATGTTAGCAGTGACTAAAGCACAACGTGCATATCATGACATAGGGCTGTTCCTGAGTCTGGCCAGGTAAGTAGGCTCATTCAGAGACAACTCTGTACTTCAGAGTAAATCTGCCTGCAGTCACACTGCCACAGGGCAGGCCAGGAGGAAATATTTGCTCATCCACTCTTCAGTTTTTAAACACAAATCCGTGTTATTTTTGCGGTCTTGTACAGAAATATTACAAATGTAGCAGAGCTGACTTTGTGCTGAAGTTTCGACACAAAGATGAAGATGAGTTAACACGTTGTGCTGGGTCTCACCATATTTCACTAACCTAAGATTAAAGGAGAAAAGAACGCTGAGGACAACTGAGGATATCAGGGAATAGTACATCATTCTGACTATCTGAATAAATATTTCTCAATCAGCTAAGTATATATCAGAGGGAAATTTGTGTCGTCTCAGGAGAATAAAAATATGTTTGTGCTGAAGTACACAGTGACTTTTTATGTGCAGCATCTGCCAGAGAATCAAAGCAGGAATAAGATTTCTATTAAAAGCACAGGTATATGGTGATGAGGGTGACAAATACGTCACCAGTAACAGATCTGCCTATGTCACTATGGAAATCCCCTGTCAATTATTTCCGTTGGGTGCACAGCTAAATGCAATTCGGACTTTAGCTATGTAAAGCAGTAACTTAGAGCTACGTTTCAGGAGAATTAAATGGTTTCTGTGTTTAGCCTAGTTTCTTAAGGCAGTGATTTTTATTTGATCCATCTCTATCTTTCTATATTTTGTATGTCCTTGCCAACAGCTTTTGAATTTTGTGATCAGTCAGAGACATTTCATAGATTGCCAAATAGTATATCTGTCATGTTCTATGAAAATATGTGGTCAGAGACATGAGAGCCTAACTGTCCTCAGTATGAGCTCACCCCATAACAGATAGCAGGAGTTCACATGAAGGGGTAATTTATGAAAACTCCCACTTGGCAGAAGATTCAATAGGTGATTGTGGTTGGTTGGATGTCAGGGAAGCCAGTCATAAGATGAAAGGAAGTTGCACTTTATTAGTTTTGCTAATCACAGAAAAATGTGCATTTTAATTACCAGAATTATCTGCAAAGTTAAAATCTGGGATACAGACAGACACAAGGATTTCTGTGATACTGAATGATGTCACAGTGTGGCAGAGTAAAAGCTGTGCATGCCATTTTTAGTATCAGATTGGCCTTGACAGTAATAATACCATTTACAGCACTTTATACTTCCAAAGCCCATTACCACCACTAATTAATTCTTAGAATACCCCTGAGGGGTGCTTCTTGGAAGATAAGTTGGAATATTAGTGTTTTAACACTGAAAACAGAGACAGATCACTAAGCAGTGATATGCTTGGAATAGAATTCAACTAAAAACTCTTAATCAGGTGTCAAAGTTAAGGCCCTGCTGAAGATGAAAATTTGCTACTATGCTTCAAAGTAATATTTAAAGATAAAAAAAGATACTTAATATATAAATATTTCTGTAGCATTCGTGAATGTAAATAAAAAACATACATTATATGGATGCAGGAGTACAGGATGGATTTAGTGGATGCCATCTCTGTACTAGTCAAATGTCAGCAGAAAGATTTTCACTAACCCAAACCTCTGCTGTCAGTGCTGGGACATTCCAGTCAAGTGATCAAAAGCCATCACTAACAAATAGCAAACAGTCCTCATTGTGCCTTATAGGAATAAGCAGTAATAGAGTTGCTTTTCTATTTCTGTGCAAATACATGCATGGTGCATCTGGGAGTAAAAATTTTTTATCCACTGTGTACTCTGCAGATTGCAAGTGAAGCCACCTCATTCCCTCATGCATCCAGCAGTTTCTCAAATCCACTCAACCCAGGAGGGGTTAGTAAGCCACTTAAATTTACAATAAATTTTTTAGAACATGGCATGGTCCCTACTCTTTCTTCTTACCAGGGAATGGAGGTCACAAAGAACATTAATGTATCTTTTTTTAAAAAGGCAGCTACTTATTTTCCTGGGTTGTTCTGGTTGTTTTTCTTTTCTTGCTGGGATGTTTGTGCATACTTCTTGGTTTTTAACAAAAGCTTCCTGACACACACTGGAAACATTCTTTAATTTTTATGTTGTCACTTTTTGTATTATTCCAGACTATTACTTTGGTACTTTACTGTATGTACTACGTGGCATCCCTAAACAAATAAACCTGACCTAAACCTGACCTGTATCTTTCCTAAGATATTTGTTAAATAATAGCATCAAGAAGTATGAATTTCCAATTAAAAATTTTAATGAGCAGCCATTGACATTCATAAATACAATCTCTATGTACATGTAATTCAATAAAGTTATTCTCTTTATATGTAATAATTCTCATAAATGTAGCAATTGTAGTTTTGTCCCCGGCAGTCTGGAATGGCCTTTTATTCCTCTGGATGTTGTGGGTTGGTTGTGCTTTGACATTTGGTGCAGTAAAGCAAGTGTGTGGAGATTGAGTTTAATTAGGCAGCACTACAGAGTAATATAGTGAATATATCACTCACATTTTGTGTTTTATTTTTGTTTTTCCAGTGAATGTCATAACTCTACAGATAGAATAAAAGTAAGAGTATGGGATGAAGATGATGATATCAAGTCTAGAGTAAAACAGCATTTCAAAAAGGAATCAGATGACTTCCTTGGGCAAACCATTATTGAAGTAAGAACACTGAGTGGAGAAATGGATGTATGGTATAATTTAGGTATGATTCTTACTGATTTTTTAAAACAAATGTAGGTAGAGTCTTACTGTCTTTAACTTTGTGACTTCAAAATATGTAGCTTTGGTACCAATGTATGACTTTTAAAATATTAAACATTGCAGGTTGATTTGAAAGTGAAAGATAGAACCCCCACTGTCCATGTCCCTGTGCCCTGGCAGGGAAGGGGTAGAGAAAATCAGGAGTGAAGTAAACCTGTGAAGAAGGGATGGGTGAGGGGAAGGTTTATTTTTCATTATCCTACTCTGATTTAACTGGTAACAAATTGATTTTCCTCTAAGTCAAGTCTGGTTTTGGCCGTGGAAGTAATTGGTGAGTGATCTGTCCCCTATCCTTCTCTTGACCTGAGGCTTTCATTAGATTTTCTATTCCCTGTCCAGAGAAGAAGGGAGGTGATAGAGCAGCTTTGGTGGCACCTACCATGACACTCAGACAGAGTAGTGTAGGTTATTGGTAAAGTCTTCATAACTAAAGGAAATGATAATAATTAGTACAGATATCAGGTAGAAAATTAAAGTAATTTCAATTGAAAAGGGGAAAGTAGTAAATAAATAGCTGTGTAGCCTTGTTTGAATATGGGAGATAAAATAAGATTTTCTACATCATATATATTCTATTTTATGGCCTGCACCAGGTGTGAAGTACTAAAAAACATTCTCATTTTCAACAGCAGGACTCCCTGACTTTAAAAAGATTAAACTAGAATGATTTATGAAAGCTTTTCATATGACACCTGTGTTCTTGGTAGTTACTAATGTATTGTTTTTCCACTCTTCAGAAAAGCGAACCGATAAATCAGCTGTCTCTGGTGCCATTAGACTGAAAATCAATGTTGAAATTGAAGGAGAGGAGAAAGTTGCTCCCTATCATGTGCAGTACACCTGTCTACACGAGGTACGTTGGAGAAGTTATAGTATACAGTACAGAAATTACTGTTCAGGTGTGGCATGTGTAAGGAAAAAAGGCTACAGAACATTACAACACTGAAACAAATAACTGATGCTGTACCTCAGGACAAGTTTATTTTAGATTTCCCATTCTTTATTGCTGAGAAAGTATCAGGTTCAGAGGCTGGGGTGGAACAACATAAGAGCAGCAAACAGATCGTTCCTGCCAGGAGGTGTTAGGAAAAGAGGTTGAGCCAGATAAACGCTCTCTGTTTTTTGATTTAGCACTTTGATACATGATTGCTAACATCAGGAATATATAAACATTTCTATATGTTACAGAAGTATACTGTAAAGAATTTCTTTTGTTTTTCAGTAATTTATATTTTGGAGAGTGAGAAAAAGGAGAAACACAGATATTAACAAATATAATGTTTCTTTCATCTAGTTTGCTTTTGTCAACATTGAAAATAATCATCACTGACAAATAGGTGTGTCTTCTGAAAGATTTTCTTTGTAATTGATTTGTCTTCCTTCAAATAGTGATCCATGTAGAAATTCTATTCTGGAAATACAAGTAGTTTCTGAAATCTGATAGCTAATATATGGCTGAAAGTTCACCATTTGCATGTAAACACAAAATCCCATTGTTCACTTTTTGTAAAATCAGCTATTAAGGGAATTCGGGCTGATAGACTTTGAGCTGAAATTGCAAATGTTGGACCTATGAAGTAAATGACAATATTCAAATTCTTTAAGATCATCCAAGAGACAATTATGGACTAATTAGAAAAACCATACGTATTTTGAAGTTTTAGTGGTTTTTTTTCAGTCACTGCAAATAGGAAACAAAATCTGTTGGATTTTGTGGATACATGTGGAATTTGTGGATACATATGGAGCCAGGCAATCTGAGAAGCTTTCTATGCCATGAATGTCAGATCCTAGCTTTGCTCCCAAGGGAACTAAACCTAAGTTTTATGGCACACCTTGCAGATCTTGAGAGGCACCTGGAGCTCCCTGTAACTTATGGACTTCAATAATGAATTTGAAATTTATTGGTCACAGATGCAATTAAAACTGAAACACTAATAAGTATTACAACATCACGATTTCATTCATTAGCAAGGGCATATAAAAGAGAAGTTTCTGCACTATTTTATGTTGCAGTCTTTCTGTGCCCGTTAACCGACAGGACTTTATATTGAGGAGATACAACGTGCTGAATCACAAGCCTGCTGACTAGTTTGAGCCAGTCTTTGGAAAAACAGACAATTAAAAATGGGCTAACAATTAACAGACTGGTGACTATACGTAGGATATGTTTTCAGAATGCTTCTTAAAAGCCAAAATTTCATGTTTGAAACATTCCTTACCTTTAGAATCTCTTCCATTACTTGACGGAAGTGAAGTCCAATGGAGTGGTGAAAATCCCCGAAGTGAAGGGGGATGAGGCCTGGAAGGTTTACTTTGATGATGCTGCACAAGAAATTGTGGATGAGTTTGCAATGCGCTATGGAATTGAATATATTTATCAAGCTATGACGTAAGTATTATCATGGCTGGCTTTCTGCTCTGCTGTCAACAATGTGATTGAGGGAAGTAACAAATTTTAAGCCTTCATGTTTTCATTCACCATTCCTCTCCCATTCCTGACTTAAAATTCTAATAATTTTTGTCCATCTGATTCTCAATGAAGTGCTTCTCATCTGCAATGGCTTTAAGATACAAGCATTTTATAAGCTGTTACTGGTATTACTGCTAATGCATTCCTTAATCCTTATGATACTGATATATAGCACAGTTCAGAAAGACTTCCAGTGTTCCAGATGCAACGGGAACAGGGTTTCACAAGTTCTGTAGTCTTTTCCAGGACTAAAGAATAACAACAATGGCCATAGTGAGGTTCTATATTATATGTAAATGATTTGTGCAAACCATTTTTTAACAGTACTGAGACCTATTACTACACTGTCCATTCTGAAGTAGATGTCTGAACACTTTAGAACACAGCACCATATAGTTCAGAGGCCTGGAGACATGAGAGATCTGTCATGTATTCTCAATTTATACAGCAAAAATTTTTCTGGTGAAAAGGACTATATTCTGCTGGAGCTGAAGAAAAACAGAGGACTCCAAATGAGTCCTCTAAATAAAAAATACAGACTTTTTTCTTATAGAAACCTGATATTTTGAAATTTTTAATCAGAATATCTCTCACTTTTTTGCATCTCTACCTCCTAAAAAGAAGAGTCTTATAATAAGTACGAATGTACATAAAAATTGGAAGTTTTCTTTTTATTGCAGAATATAATGACACCACCTGCTATTGCAATGAACTTGTCTTTCATTTTATGTATCTGTCTGTGAACTATTGTACCGTTCATCTAATAGAAGGACAGGGAATGGATTTTTACTAGACACATTTTTAATGATCTTCCTTCAAGGAATTTATACAGCATTGCACAGAATAATTAATGAAACTTGAGAGTTCCTCTGTTTTATATTTAAACTACATGTGGAGGAATTCATGTGTTGACTTTCATGAGTATTTGTGTTTCTGCGTTTAGTTTCTCTGTAGCTCTGTGTGATTGTTATGTTATTTATTAACTTATCCTGGTATTGTAATTTTATAATTTGACTTAAAATGATATGGCATTTTTACCAAAATGTTAGTCATAGAGTTGTTCCTGCTGTGTGTATCAAAATTAATTCAAGGTTTGACCAGAAATAAATTGTTAAGAGCTATTAATGCCAAAGGAGGGCTGTTATTAGTGATTTGCATAAGAAAGGGTGGATTTAGCATTAGTTTTGTCTTAGCTACAGCCCCAGTAGTTATCTTAATATAACATGGCTGCATATTTGACAGACAATCTTAACAGTAATTTATTTTTCATTTTGTTTTTCTTCATCTCTTGATGTATTCAAGTACTGCAAAATTTTCCAAAAAATTTTGAAACTGGTTTTAGAAATTCAGTTGTTGCAAAAGTCGGCATTGCAAAAATAGCAGTATAACTGATGTGAGTATATTAAATCTTTTTTACTTAAAAGTGGTAGAAATTGACAGGTTATATTTTTATATAAAGAAAATGCTTTTTTTTTTCTCTCAGTAAATAACATAGCTTACAGATATTCATGAAAAGTCTGTACATCTCACATGGAGCTGGCCAAGTACTCCAATATATTTTTCAGGAGTACTTACTCAAAAAATTCTAACCAAGCCATTTTACGTTAATTGATCTATTTTGCCTCCTCTTTTTGTTCTTGCTTTCTTCTATACCTTTCCCCACAATTTTCCTCAATGTTGTTGACTGCAAACCAGGTATCTGAAGGCAGATGTAATAAAAAAGAGAATTCAATATTGGTAGTCACAAGAAATAAAAGCTAAGATTTCATTGCCCACAGACCCATATCCTTTTATATTTTAAAATGTTGAATGTCAATAATGAGCACTGCCTTTTTGAGGGGATAGCCCCAGCCTGTTTAAGTCAGGAATGAAATCAGTGATGAATGTAATCCCAAGTAATACTTGGAGAAGAATATATATTCATATATGTTATTTTGCTGATTCATCTGCAGACGCGTCTCAGAGCATTCAGACTTCGGGGAGAAGAGTAGTGAAGGCACTAAGTCTATTTGTCATGAGGAATTTTGTTTTGGACTATTATCTGCTGGTTTTATTTCTTTTTATGAGATTACCTTTTTCTTCTGGAACAATTTTAGTGGCTGGAAGAAAATGTACAGCTTCTTGATTTGGAAAATAGAATTATCAGATTGCATTTGGTAACAAAGATCTCCTACTAAAACAAAAGCAATTTTCTACTATACGACATAGAGAGAATTTGAATGTAATCACTTTGCCCAGAGGAATATTGTGTAAGCATTTTTTTGTTTGAGAATCTAGTTGCAGAGTACTTCTACTGCATGTCTCATGATAACGTTGGAAATTAAAATGTTTGTGTTTGTAAATGCAAAACTAACTAAGCTTTAACACCCCAGGATCCAGACCCCAGAGAGCATCTGCACTTCATCAGGCTACGTGAGTTTTAGGATGCTGCTAATGAGGTGTTCTTTTTGCCTGAATGTAATTTTTAGTGTTCACATTTGTTTTAAGGTTAGCTATTATATATAGTTTCAGTGCCACTTAATGATAGTCAGTCTTGACTCTTTTAAGTGTGGATAGATGGCATATGCTGGAGTAGGAATATATGCCTTTCTGCATTTCTACACAACATAAACCTGACTAAATTTCTCTAAAGTATCCCTGTCTAAAGTGATTTGGCATCCTGTTCCACTACAGCAATAAACAATCCCACTTACTTATAATTTCTGGTTCAGGATGATGGCTTTGTCATCTATGATCCCTTAATAAACCCTGAAGATTTCCTTCTGGCCCTCAATATTTATTTATATCTATTCTTTTAGAGCACAGAAATGATATTTCAAAAATTTAGTCTTGTTTTTCCAAACACAGTGAATATACTCATACTGGAATGTGGGAATCAGCCCAGAAGATACCACATGGGGGGATACCTGTCTGTCATTGTCCCCAGTGAGACATTTCTCACCAAGATTAGAAAGAGAATGAATTTGGGTGCACCTCTTGCTGGAGATAGGAACATCCCCACATTTTTATGAGATAAATGTAGACACTTTTTCCCTATAGATGCTGACTTAGAAGGGGTGTTTTACTCTCAAGATACGGATTACAACTGCACAGTTCCTGAGCAAGGAATCTGCTTTAAGCTACCACATGTGGAATTCATGTGAATAGAAAAACAGCCATTGACCCAAATCAAAATACAGCAAAAACTGATTCTGTTGCAGTAATTGCAGGTCTTTGAAGTCTTGACTGTATAGGTTACATAATCCACTCTTCTTTCTTATGATTATTTTATTCTTCCACTCCTCATGGAGTCTGTATTAGAAAAAGAAAAGCAAGACAATTACAGCCATTCTTACATGGTTCAGATGAGAATTTTTTTGCTTTTTGTGATGGATAGCAGCCAAACAGACACTGTTAGCCACACAACTGGTATGTATAACTCCCAGAAGTACAAGCATGACTGTGTGAGATGATAGGGAGGAAAATAAGTATCACAGAAAACAGGAAGAAAAAGTAGAAAAACAGCACAGTGATCCAGCTGGCCTTTATTTTGATGACTGTGGTGATTGATGGCAGTTTATGTTGTAAATTCAATGTCTAGAAGGAATCATACTGGAACTTTATTTACCTACATATATTAAGCCACACACTGCAGTGAAGAAAAAGCAACTTTTTTCCTGTCATTCATCTTTAAACATAATTTATTTCTCTTTAGAAGGCAAAAATCTGAGCACGTATTTAAACAGTGTTTGACTAGACGCTGAAATTGCACATAATATCCTGAATTTACTGTGTAATAGAGTCAAGTGCAATAAAAGCTCTATTAAGATCTTTACTTCTTACTGGCAAGAGTCACCACAGGTAGAACCTAATGATTCTCAATCAGCAAAATCACTCCCATTCCAGCAGGTTAATGAGCACTAACCATGTCATCTTGTTCTCCTGCTAGTTTTCAATTAATGTGGCAGCATTACAAAAAGCACACAGATCGCCCATTAAACTAATTTTTTATTGATAGCGTTTGCTTACTGATGAGTACAGCACATCAATTAGACTTCTTTCTTCTCTACATCATGCTAGCAGAAATATCAGAAAATTCCCAGGCACTGTCTGTTGGTCAGGAAATTGCATTGTAAGAAAGTTGGAGCGAGCAGGCCTGGTTTCAGACACCACTGTAGCTTAACCAGTGCAACCTTGCTCTAAATTGTGTGAGAATTACCAATGGTTGCTGTGACATCATGTGCCCACTACAAATTGTTAACAAATCATGCTATTGGCTGCTGTTTTCAAAGACCTGCAATAAAAGGACAGGGGCTTACTTTGATTTATTCATTTTGGCAAGAAGGAATCCAGGTATCTTGCAAGTAGCTGATAACCTGAGTTATCTGCACTCTCAGAGTCATGACCCATATTGTGTACTTAATAGGTTCTGTGAACATTAGAGATTTTAATTAATTGATGGTGAGAAACAAAAATATGTCACAGATGCCTTATCATAATTTTCACTAAGCACATTACAGGTGAAACAGTGCAGTGATACAATAAGGGCATAAATTATTCCAATTACTTTAAATTTTCTGTGTAAAAAATTGGTACAGTTTGGGTCTGTTTTCAAGATAAGAGTTCAGTACAGGTCATGGGTAGGTCATTGTGAAATGATTAGAGGAACCTGCAGAAAACACCTTAAAATGGTGACCCAAACAACATTCCATGATCTGCCATGTTTTCCCTGAAGGCAATTGAAACAATCTCAGAAATTAATTAATTTGGAAATTAAAGATCGTCAGTAAAAGTATTAATTATTTTGTCAGTCTTTTGGAAACGGTTTCTGATCATACCTACATATATTTCCCAAACTTACTCATAGATAAGGAGATACTTCTACTAGCTTTAAAGGTTGTCTTTATTGTTGAGAACCACCTGACATCACTATTGTATTTTATTACAAAGGAAAGTATTATTCTTCTACTTGACAGAAAACACGAGACATATAATGAAAGATTTTTCTAAGGGGTAGAGAACTGTGTTTTTCGTTTGCTGAATTCACGTATCAGTCTTCAAAAGCACTTCTTGAAAATACAGGCAGTGAATTAAAGGTTTGGTAGTTCTATTCCGTGGGCACATAGCTGGAAATGCTGGGTTCAAGTCCTGGCCCAGGTGATTGGTTTCTGTGTAGCTTTGAGCAGTTTATCTCAGTGATGTAAAATGCAGATGATAGCACTTCATGCTATTTTCCTGTAGGGGCTATGTTGCCCCTACAGGAAAATAATCTTGAATGATGCCTTGAAAGATGATTTGGGCAGTGACAACAGTTAAGGGTATTTGGCTTAAATTCAGCAGGAGGGTTCAATTGTACCTTGTGTTAATTTTTTTTCTTGGAAGGCATAGTGCCCAGGTGGTTCAGGCCCAGCACACTGCTCTGCCTTATGCTCCTGAGGAGGAACAGGAGAGAGGAGCCAGAGACTCCAGCTAAGAGGAGCATGTGGTGTAATCAGGACCTTCAGTCATATGGATACTGATTGGAATTTCTTAATCCTCTTCTGTTTGACTGTACATCCATTTTTACCACCATCTTCTCCTAATCTCCCTCATTCTCTTTCCTATTTGTGTACATTTAGTCTTTATCCCTTTATCTCCCTCCTGGAGATAATTATAAATCTTGAATTTAGGAATTTATGTTTGCAATGATGATGTTCATTGTCCCCATGGGTCAGATCTTTCATTAATTTATACCTCTCATGTTTTGTTGTGTTACAAGCTCTTCATGTGCTAGCAGCAGGCATCTCCTGTTTCATTAAACAAGTAAACAGTGCTGCTACTTTGCACTTCTGGTTTTGGCTGTTTCAGGTTTAACAGACTGATTACCTAAATTTTACTGGCCTGGATTGAAGTGGAACAGTTTCAATTATGGCCTAATTCAAGTCAAGGTGAATCCGGAAGCTGCTTGAAGCACCCTACATTAATAATGTAGGGTAAAATAAAAGCCACGCTAAAATGCTAGTTTGAGTCTTTTTGTTGGCAACAATTAAACCTTCTTCTACTATAGATTTCTGTGACTTTCCATGATGAGTTAGAGTTTGCTTTTTAATAATGAACGTTTTGCTCAAGAGCAATTAAAATAGTTAAGTCATGTTTTTGTGTTTAGGATTAAGAGAGTAAGAACTGGATGTGAATCTAATGTGGCCAGGTTGAAAAGATCAGTGTACAACAAGTGGCAGTTATATCAAATATGTCTGGATTTTCCTTATATGCATCTGTACAATTTTCCATGAGGTAGCCTGACAGCTACATTATTGGAGTTAGAAAGAAATTATAATGGGAGAAGAAGCAGATTCCCTGCCATCTTTAATAATTGCTAGTTTGTTTGAATTGCAGGCACTTTTCCTGTCTCTCTTCTAAATACATGTGCCCTGGTGTTCCAGCAGTTATGAGTACATTGTTGGCCAATATAAATGCTTTCTATGCTCATACAACAGCAGCAACTAATGTATCTGCCTCAGATCGCTTTGCTGCTACTAACTTTGGGGTAAGTAGATTTTCTTTTTTAATAGAGTTCTAGTCCTTTCTTTTTCCTAGTATATTCCATATTAACTGCTACATTTAATTTTTTTTAATTACTCATTTTAAAGAATAAGGGTTGTTGTTAGATTTTGAAAATTTTACTCTGAGTCTTAAAAATCAATTGTCATAAAAGCCAGAGAAGATGCTATTCAGCTCCTTGTGGGGTGTAGAGGGTAGAAAGCACTGGCACACATTCACTGCACTAAAATCTCCAACAAACAGGTTTCTGTTTTATTGCAGTGGGCCTTGCAAACTGCTAACTGCATTAGTTTGCAAGTATTGGATGCAATTCCTTTCTTGGGCTGTGTCATCAGTGGACTCAGGTTAACCTAATGGAAGTAGCCATAAACGCTGCTCTTCTCACACACATCCATAATAATGGACCCTCTTAATTTTGCTGAAACTTTTGCTGGTGCATTTTCTGAGTCCTGGATTTAGGTATCAGGAATTTTAGGAGGAATAGTAGTATTTTAGGATGTGGTAATACTTCTTTTGCTATTGCTAAATTTTCTTATGTGGATAAGTATCTCACAGCATGGACTTTCCAGTCTTTGAACACGATAATAGATAAACATACATTCAGCCCTTATTCTGATTTCTTTCTTCTACTCTCAGAGGAATTGAAAGCAGGAAGGCAGAGCAATAATTCAAAGAGGTTGCCTTCATAGCTCTGGCGTTACACATGATGCAGAGAGTATAAACACAATCTTATGATGAAAAATGCATTTATTCTTTCCTCTTTTTTCTTTTTTAGGAGGAATTTTATTTGTAGAGCTGATATCAAAGCTATATTTGATGTAACAGTTTTCCTAAAAATACCATTTATTGGCATGAAATAAAATATTAATTGTAATTAAAATTTATTAAATAAAAATTGAAATTTAAAATTTAAAATTTTATTTGAAGTAGTGTTAGAGGCACTAGTACTCTTCTCCAGTATTTAAAATAATAGAGGAATTATGAATTTCATATTTTCAAGACAAAATTATGAAATTATACATTTGGATGAGTAAACCAAGAATCATTTAATATCTTTGTTGAAAAAAGTCTTCTCTTTCAATGTTCAAGCTTTATTAGACCTTTGACTTTGATGCAACTTTTGAAATTTAGAATAGTTTTGCTGCATTTTTTTTATCCTTTTTCCCCATTTTTCTAATGATCAGAACTGCTTTTGTCCTCAGACTGGGCAGAGATTAGTCCTTTCTCTGATGTTAATGCCAGTTTGCCTTTGACGCAGTTCCTATCCAATTCATGGTTCAACAGATGGATGGAAAAGGAGTAGTAGGCATCACTAATAGAGATTTGGAGCTCTTTTTTCAAACAATTGACTTATAGGCAAAATATTAGATTATTCTTCTCTCCTGGGTCAAAAGGCATTTTTTAGTGAATAGCAGCACATCGTTCATCAAAAAGAACATCTCAAATTCAAGTCCTCAAGCTACAGCTGGGAATGATTTGGCTGGCTGAATATTCCAGTAGAGATTTATAACATGACAAAAAAGTTCTCTTTTGATTGATCCCTTAAGGGAGCTATGCCAAATTAGCAGGGTTTGGTGTGGGTTAGAACTCCATAGATGAGAGACAGTGCACAAAGGCTCTATTGTCAAATTACCCATCATCACATTTGAGGGATGGTGCAGATACAAGTGCATCCTTAGAGCCATCAGCTCCTGCTTCTTCCAGAACTCTGCTGCTTTCACACAGGCTGAGATTTCACAGTTTTGTGCAGTAGACTATGGAATATGTTCTAACGTGGTAATTAAAAACTCATTAGTATTACTTGAGAATGGCACAACTCAGCTGGAAGTCTCACAGCAAAATACTTGCACTGCTCCTTCATCTATCAAGATAACAAGTTAATCTTCACATTTGAAAGGGAAAAATATAATTTCATTGTATTAGTATTGCTTAACTTATTCCTACAAAAGCCACTGTTTCAGAAGTACAATTTTCAATCATACTTTTGCACTAAATTTTGTTGTAAATGGGCATCATTTCTTACTTAGTAAAGGAATGGAGAGGTGCTGTCTTCAAGAGTTCAATCAGTTGCAAGGCAAATATAAGACAGGAAAATGTTGCATTACAAAATCTTTGTGACCTCACTAATATATTGCACAGCTGCACAGTTTGTAATGCATATCAGGTATACAATACAGATAGAAAGGGAAAATAAAGCAAAAGAAGATGCATTGCTTGGTCTTGAAAGACAGGTATTTCAAACCATCTCTTGTATATGAAATTATGGAAAATAAATTTATTTTCAAATAAGTTAAGAGTGGGAATAAGTTTTCTAAAATCCCAACAATTACAGGAACCTGCAAATTCTACTACAACATATTCTTGTTTTCTTCTTACAGAGAGAAAAGTTCATAAAGTTGCTGGATCAATTGCACAATTCTCTGAGGATTGATTTATCCAAATACAGGGTATGTACAATGTATTCTATCTAGAGTCAACATGGGACCCCAAATCCTTTGGAAAAAAATTTACAGAATTTAAGCCGTTTAACACCAATATTTTTCCAATTTGACAAAAAGAAAAAACTTAGTATTTTCTTTCCAAAAGCTAAGACCAGGTCAAGGGATTAGCACATATTCAAGAAAACGTAGTATTCAACTACTATTTTGATTAAATTGGTCTATAACTAGTCTTAAGTTAATTAATCTGGGAATCACCTTCACTGACTCAGGTAGTGCAAAGTGCAGTTACTGCTGTATTTCTTCTGAGAGCCTGACATCTTTGCTACAACTTGCATGCTAAGATCCTGGTAATGTTGAAAGAGTCTTGTCTCCTTGTTTTTCTATGTGGTAGGAATTTGTTTCATTTCTGCCTCATGGACTCTCCTTCCAGTGAGCCATGCTCCAAAGCCAGCCTTTCAGGACAGCAGGCACTGGGTACCTGCCAGTTACCATTTGGTTCTGAACTCCTTCTCCAGTCCACCGGATCATGAAACTTTTGGACAATATCTAAGTTAGGGTTTCATCACTGTGCCTCTCCGTGCAGCTTCTAGGAGTGGCAGCCTCCAAGTCAAGGATTTGTCTGTCCATCTGGCCTGCTCTCCAGAACTGGAGGAGAAAGGGAATATTTAAAACAATTCCAAGGCATTAGAGAGAGTGGAAGTTGCACATACTTAGTTTCTAAGATCACATTCTTCGTGAAGTAGATATGTTCATGCTAAAATGTTTTAATTTTGAAGAATGCTATCCAGATAATTTTGTAGCATGAGGCTGATACTTCATTAGTAGGAAGTTATTTAAATAACACTACTTCACATCACTTTGTTAACCCAGAGATCATAGCAAAAATTTAATGTTATTTCTACATTAATCTTACTTCTGCATTTATGCCTACAAGTAATGTATGTGCCAAATCCATAAATTCTTTTCATTAGCAACAGTTTCCAGACTTCTTGTAACATTTTTTATTCCATTCACGTTTTCAAAATATCACAATATTTTAAATTGTTTATATTACAAGTGCAGGAGCACTATCAAAGGTGTTCCTACTCATGTCCAAGGGATACTCATCATTAACTCCCTCACAGGCAGAATTGGGGTAACATGAACATCTCTAATCCTTCCAAGCAAGCCAGCACCTTATGTTTTCTTAGAGGGTTTTTGACTAGTTGTTCAAGGATTTTACCTGTAACTCAAATTTTGCATGATTCCTCTTTTCCTGATTCACCAGGACAATTTTCCTGCCAGCAATTCTGAAAGACTCCAAGATCTGAAATCAACTGTGGACCTGCTTACCAGCATTACTTTTTTTCGGATGAAGGTATTGTCTTTTACTTGCACAACTAAATTTCCTGAAGAAAACAAAATATTTACGTTTTTAATTAGTTTAAAGTCAAGTCACTTAAAGCATACTTAGCTGAACTCCTTAGGAGTTATATAGAATAATGATTTTCTACTGATAAAATAAAATAGATCTGATAACTATTCGCCTTAATCTCCCCAAAGGTTGAGATCTAAGTGGTCAAACATTGAAATATTTTTTGAATGGTTCACATTAGTATTACTGAATGAAAAAAAGAGAAACACAAAGCAACCTTTGTCATAATAGCATGTGATTCCATTGCATTAGGCAACTACATAAAGAGAATTAAAATAATCCCCTAAGTTAAAGTTTGAATTAATGAATCCTGAAATGGAGTAAAGAGATGAATCCTTTGCTTTACTACATAACTGTTCTTTGGCTGATATTCTTATTCCAAGGAAGGTACATAATTATACTATATTATTTCCTAAATAATAAAAAAAACTTCTAAAATAAGTAAACCATAAGATGTAAAGATATAAATTTGTGGGCACACATGCCACTTTCATCATATAAATATTTTAATTCAAATAAAACAGTGATAAAATCTACTTGCATGTTTTAATGCATCTTTGAACTAAATGCACCTTAATTTAACACAATTTTAATTATTTTTATCATTGTTTTATCTGAACACTTTTCATCCTGTATAACAGAACTACATTCATCACTTGGATTTTTTGTGCTCAATCTAATTCTGACATTCTCCCATTTATGAAATATTTAATTAGGTCCTGGAATTGCAGAGCCCTCCTCGAGCCAGTACTGTGGTGAAGGACTGTGTAAAAGCCTGCCTGGATTCAACTTATAAATACATTTTTGATAATTGCTATGATCTCTACACCCAATTAGTGGATCAGGTAAGGTCAAAATGAACTTGTTTTGAGCTATTGCTCATTCATTACTCTTAGTTTGCCTTTAGTAAATAGAAAGCCTCCAAAGCACTCAGATTTTCATTATATTTATGCATGGAGGAGCAACATACCATAAATACACCCATAGACATCTGTGAACTCTAAAATGTTTAACATGAGTTTCAGAATGTATACATTAATTCTTAATGTAGTCATCAAGTTGGACATGACTGTGAAATTTTCCAGTGGTTTGGGGAAGATGACATTTGATTGATTACTGTTCATTTAAGACGTGTAACAGGAAAATAGTTATTTAAAATCTAACATTTTACTTCTGCAGCTTTAGAAAAAAAAATTAATTTGCTGGAAATTATATAATCTTTCCAGCCTTAGATTTTAATATCTATGATGCATACTTGGATCCAAGCCTTAGTAACTGCTTTAAGAAAGCAGAGGATAATTCTGAAACATTTCTGAATATTTGTCTATCAGGTTCAATTGTCAATGCAAAATAATTATAGCATTTGTTGTGTTCCAAATGCATGTCATGCAATGTCATGCAATGTCATGCAAAATCCTTGAGAATACTTTTTAATTTTTTATATAATATTGTCATTCTATAAGTAATGTTAGAATTAATTTTTGTCTTAAAGGACCAACACTTCTTTATCATATTACCTCTGTACCTTGTATTTGCTTTCTGGATGGTACACTGAAAATATGGCAGTTCTGTGACTATTTCAGCCTTGAACAGGATTAACTAAGTTCTTTGGCAAATGCACTTGTTTTTTGTGTGTATGTAATTAATGAGAACACTCATACTAATGATATAAGGCTTCAAATGAAATGTATTTGAAAGCATATTTCACTTGAATCCAGAATATGAATTCCTGTGTTTTAGGAAAGGTGATAATTGCTATCTATTCAATATTTCTGAAATGAGAATTTATTTTCTCATGTTGGATTCCTGTTGTATGAGAAAACTTAACTGTAGCTTTTAATGTAAGAATTTCTCACCAGCACCAATAAGCACTCCACACTTAGGGCTGATGTGTGTTTATCCTACAACAGATTATATTGTAAGCTGAGTAGGAGTATAAATTAGTGGAAGGAGCAGCTTCAGGCATCGCATCCATTTACGTCATAAACTGCTCTGTTTTCTCCCTAATGTTTACTCTGCAGCAATTTGATCTTGTCTGGTAAATATAATATGAAGTGCAGCTAGACTGAGTATTACATAAGTCTGCAGTTTATCAGTAGATTCTAGTCGTCAGTAAACAGCTGAAAGTGATAAAGTCTTACCTCTGCAAAGCACTGTGACAACTGCAAAAGCTTATCTGTATTCAAAAAATTCACAACTTTTTAATGTGGATCCATACAGTCATCTAGCCTGTCTATTTTAAAATATGATTTTAAAGTTCAGGGATATTAGAGCTTTCCTGCTTGATAGAGAATGTAAAACTTGCTTAAGTAAGTGTTCTCTCCAAATTATATTTGAGGCAGAACAGGCAATATTGTTATTATAGTTTTCTGTCATACAACTCTACTTAATGGCGGAGAAATAAGTCCTGAAATAAAAATTTTTTTAAAAAAATCCTCAAGTATTCACTCAGCTGGAAAACTGAGTTCACTGTATTTCTGCAGCTCTTGGGTTCTCTTTCCAGCAAGGGGATTTCCAGCAGGGGCAGTTTTTTTATGGAAACTTTAAGCAGAAAATTGTCTGTACAATTACAATCACCAAGCAATGCAAGAAACTTAAATGAAGCAGCGTAAAAAGCAAAATTCAAAATAAATAGATTGCATTCAAAATAATTTATTTCTAACAGCAAATCACATCAACAGTCAAACAAAAAATTCAAGCAACAATCACATATAATCTTGATGCCAGACAGTAAAACTTTCTTTCACAGAAAGTAGGAGACTATTCTGAGAAATATAACTGGTCTAGCTTTAATAGAGAAATGAGTAAAATTAATTCAAATGACTACCTGAATTCTACATCAGCTCTTGAATTGTACTAGGAGACTTTGCTCAGCATGATCCTCTTATGTTTTCCTATCAATATATCCAAAAGTGCATTTGGTTTTAGGAACACTTAAGCATGCAGCTTGTTTGAACCTCTAGCTTGGCAGGTTTTCCAGTGAATTAAGGTGATTAGCTTGGGTACCACTGTTATAATAATGAAGCAGTAAACAATATTGTAATTAACATTTCATTAGCTTCATATCCAAGCCCCTCAGATTAGACCAGGTTCCACTCTTCAGCCTTCCTGAGTGGCTGTTCCCTTCTTCTCTGCTGGGCTCCCCATCAGGTGAGGTCTCCTCCTCTCAGAGGAGGGAGCTCATCCCTCTTCTGCAGCACAGGAGGTTCACGTTTCAGCTGCACAGCTGCGCTTTGAGCTGTGAGTACTGAGAACTGAAACTGATGAACCCCAAAGCAACAAGAAATGGTTCTTATGTAAGTCAGGACCTGCTCTCGCTCAGGGGAAGGACTGGCAGCTGTTGTCCTGCTGAGGCTCCTGCATGCTCAGGGTGTGTATCTGTGGGTAACTCATAACCACCTTATGCAGTTGCTTTTGGCTGCAACCTAAAATTCTTAGAAATGCCTCCCACAGTATTTCTAGAAAATATGCTTCAGGTCTGATTGTGTGGGATTGTTTAAGTTTGGGGTGAAAATAGAGCAATGACTGTTAAAATTGAGGGGCTCAAACTGGAGGTTTTGGATATTTGCCACTATAAATGGGAAAAGTAAATCACAAAATATGCTCAGCAGTCTCCAATCCCTCTTTTTATTACTCTCTACCTTTGTGACAGGCAGACAATCACCATTAAAAACCTAATGTCTTGCAGCAAAATATCGCCCCTGAGGATATTTCCTGGAGTGAAGCATTGCAAATGCTCACAGTATGCAAAAATGTCATACTACAGTTCCATACCAGAACACAAAGAACAGCTGATGGCAAAAACCAATGACTGCCACAGACAGTAAAACGTTATAGCTTGACAGTCTCACTGACGTGTATATTGCTGTCCTCGTTATTGGAGTTAAAGCCCTCTGATGAAAAACTATCTAGCTCCTTACACCGCACATGTGGTGTTTTCTCTTTTTAATTAACAGTTATATGAGTGAAGTGCTTAGCTGCCCTATGTTAAAAAAAATACCCTGGAGAAGTAGTTTAGGAAGCACTTTGATAGTTTTCTGGCTCAATTTACAGATACATCACTCTTTCTGTTTTCTTGAGAAAACAAATTTTGAAATCCTGGCTGGTGCTCACTGTGACTGAAGTCCCTTCAGTAATTCTTTTTGCAGTCTTCTCCACTGAGTGATACCAATGAAATGCAGACAGGACCCTTCATGTTATTTCAAGAGCTCTTGATCAGTACGAATAATTTCATGAGTGATAGCACCAATATACTGGAATAAAAACACTGGAGTACTTTATATTTGACACCAGCTCATCAGAATAGTCCTGATATAGCTCCCTACCTGATGTTAGGGACCTTTACTTGAGTCTTTACTCAGCTCTGAATGTTGTCGCAGCACACCTTGGTGCAGACAAGAGGTAGCAAACAATTGACTCTTTCAGGAGCCAGGTGTTGTACAGCTGCAGCAGCACAGTACTCTGCCCTTGCCATTTATCTCTTGCACGGATACAGCACCTTGGGTTGGGTTGGTAATGTACTAAAAACATCCCAGCTCTGGGAATCATGGATGAGCCTGTGCTTTGGGAGCTGGCTTCATTTTGCTTTACTTAGCTGTGAGTCCATGGTCACTTTTCCATTTGGGATTTGGGAATCCAAGCCTCATAGTGGTTTGGGAAGGTGTAGTTTTTTCTCTTTAGTATAAACAACAACAAAATCGTTAGGTTATTAATTTCCTATAGAAATACTACAAGATTTGAAGCATGACTGTGATCTTTGTTTTTCAGACACATTCGGAAATATGAAGTTGGAAATAAAGTTCAGTAGCAAAAGCTGTTTGCTACAGAAAGTCCTATTTTTCCGGCATGCAAATTTCAGTGCCAAGTAATACTTCTTGTGGGGCCCTCTGTTATATTTACATATTGCTTTAGCTGCACTGAAAAGGTTCTGACTTGTTCAAATCTGGCATGCAAAGGGTACTTAGAGATCTCTCCTTGTATTGCAGCATTTTGTTTGATGGGGTAGCGTGTTAACCACAGTAATAGAAAACAAATTGGTAAATTGCCTCAGAACAGAAGGATGCCTTTCGTGCTATGGTATTTCCAATCACATTCTGAGAATACTGTCAGAGGAAGACCAAATCTTACAGATATAATTTCTTCTTAGCAGCTTTTCTGAGAATACTGGTTAGAAAGTCAAAGAGCTTGCAATACATGAGGGGCTCACTTTGGTCTTCCTCCACCTATTCCCTGCAGAAGCAGAGCACTTCTGGGTGGGTGGGTCACATCAAAACCACAGTATCACTTGGCTGACCACTGCAGAGCAGCTATGCATGTTACCCTGCCCTGAGCAGATAGACTAGTTAAACCACCTCCTTTCACATGCCAGTCCTTGAAGACAAAGGCTGACAATTGTCAGTGAAAATTAATCCAAAAGAGTTCTGTTCCACTTCAGTCGGTACTGGAGAATACATAAAGCAAAGTTGCCTGGAGAAGGTGTGGCTGCCCCATCCCTGGAAGTGTTCAAGGCCAGTTTGAATGGGACTCTGAGCAACCTGGTCTAGTGGAAGGTGTCCCTGCCCACAGCAGGAGGGTGGAAAAAGATGATCTTTGACATCACTTCCAACCCAAACCATTCTGTGATTCTATGATGATTCTTCAAATAGGGTTTCAGTTTCAAATAACAGTTGAGGAGCCAGTTACTGTGCAACAGCACTGCACAGGGAAATCCCTCACAGGTTTTGAAGGCATGTCTGCAAGTGGTTTCTGGCTTTAGCCTCTCTTGAGTAAATTCTGTAAAGCCAAATTTTCATTCTTTTAGATATTAAAAAATCATTAAAAATTATATAAGATTCTATGTATATTATATACATAGTGCATATTGTATATTTTCTGGTGATTTGACATTAAATAATATTATATGTAACATACGCAATATAAGTAATCAATATGCAATTTCAAATATGGAAGAATTCTTAAAATTATTATTTCAATATCTAAGACTGGTCTATAAAATTGTCCTCTGTAGCCTTGTGCTGATCAAGGCTACTGTGTTGGTGTCCACTGAGTTCCCACTTTATCATTACTTATATAGAAAATATTGTATTCTGAATCCTAGCTTAGGGCTTGCAGCAGACAGCAATAGATAACTTTCTGATATTATAGGATTCAATTTATCAAAGTCACACAGATAATAATGGGTATTGGTTGTGCAGAACATAACAAAATAAAACCAGAGAAAATTAAAGCAGACATTCATCTTACAATCTGGTAAAATCAGTGATGAGAGAAGTTGAAAGCCCTCTGTTTCTCAGACCAGTCTTTACAGATTTGTCTCAGGGTAGTATAGATGTAGATTTTAATCTTGCTTCACACTGTGTCTGAGATTGCTTTCTCCACTCTCAACCACTTTCCCAGAGTACAAAATGTTTGCTTGTCAACAGTTTAGCCTTTTTTTTCCATTAAACTTGGAAAACGCCCTCTACATTTTATTTTTTTCTTTAAGATAATATCAAAAGACCAGTAATGATTTTGGGGGCTCTATGCTGCATGATCCATTGCTTGCATATGAATTCAGGTGACCAGGAAATTGACATAAAAGAGAATGAGCAAAACATGATTCAGTGCAAATAATTTATTTTTATTCATATCCTATGAAAAATTGCTCCTACTTCCTCTTTCTGATCTTGATGTTTTCTGTGGCAAAAGACTCAGAGTTATCACCTACTTTAGATGTTGCATTAAAAAAACCAACAGAGAGTCTCCAGCACTTACTGTATCTGTGACTCTTAAGTGAATAATATGAGTTCTCTTTAATGACCCTTTTCTCATAAGGGGTTTGCTACCACTCTAGGGTGATCCTAAAGACAAGAAGTACCCAAATCAATTAATCTGACTCCTGTTGGTGAGGTATCATCTGCTCTTATTGCTTGTTTGATCTGCCAGCAGAAGCCCCTTAGGAATATCATTGTTGTGCCTTTGGCCAGTCACTTATTGGGCTTTTAAGTACAGGACATCTTATGGCATTTCATGGTTCAGTGCATGTGGGCAGCATTGCCATCCAAAGTGATGTTACAGGAGGTCAAGATATTTTACACAGCCTTTCCTATGTGAACAAGCTTGTGGAAAAGTAAGTGATTCTGCTAATTGGCAAACTTTCCTTCATATCAGTGTTTGGAAAGGTCTCTTGGTTACTGGAAAGGCAGTCTGTGATTTGAGCTTGTTCATTGCTATATCAAACAAAAAAAAGAAAACAGGAAACCTCAAAAAATAATTTATTTTAAAATTAAGAACCACTAATAGCATCAGTTTAATTAATCATTTTGTCATCTTTCTATATCAAGAATTTATTTCCTCTTGACCTTTTCAGTTTTTTTTTTTTTTTTTAAATCTCATTGTTATCATCCTCTACAATTACAAGTGGTATTTAGGGTCTCCTACATCTTCTCATTGTATTTGTGCCAGCGTGGCACTAATGAGGTATATCAGCTATTTAGTTAATGCTTTTACACTGACAGTTTCTTTCAAATGGGTATAAGAAGAGTGAAAAAAATTCTAGATTGAATTCAAATTTCCACCACTGTTTTTCCTCATAACAACAGCACTGCACCAAGTCTGTCAGAGCTGGGGAAGGGCTGTCAAACACACCGTGTGGTTTTGGGCATTGCCCTGTGCAGGAATCCAGGAGCTGGACTCTGGTCCTTGTGGACCCCTTCCAACTTGGAGTATTCCATAATTCTATAATGCTTCTACAAAGGTATCTGTTGTACATAAAGCAAATAATAATGCTGACAATAATAAGGTAAAAAGAGCTTGAAAGATTCTGAGCATTTCTAACACACTAGGTAGATTTTAGGATAAAATGGAAATAACAACCAGGGATGGGCAGAGTATGCACTTTCTTTTCAGGGCATAAAACTACATCTTTGTGACTTTTTTTAAAAATACTTTCTCTGGGCCATTTGAAAAGGTCATAGAGATTTTAAAGAGATTTCTTTTCCAGATAATTTTTGTAGGAAGGACCTCCTTGTGCAGCTATTACTTTGTAAATTAGTTACTTTTTGCTATCTGTGTTGAAGAACAGAATTTTGCATTCTGTGCTTCACATCCAGAGCCATGAAAAGCAGTCTCAGCTGTATATGTCACTTGCTGTGAAATACAGTTCTTGGGTAAGATGATGAGCTACGTACGAGGTGGCTTTGGCTTCTACAGCTGTCTTTCAGTTGATCAGATTTAACAAGCTTCTGAGAAAAAAAAAATGGTCTATTGGACATACATCTTTGATATAGAAGCAAGACCTTTTTAGTCAAAATATAATGTATACCAGGGAAAGCCCTTGTGAGTGACATTAATGCTCTAGTGTTCATTTCTGTTTTGAAGAGCTCTCTCATTTGCATGCACAGTTGTTAATTGTTGGTGACACCAGACCCACCTGCTTCTGAGCTTAATTTCTGTTGCTTTAGACACTGAGGTGGTACCCTTTGTAGTTCAACTGAGTATTTAGCAGTGTGATTAATAATACTTGTCTAAAATATTCCACAGTGGCCACAAAGAGAGTTTCAAATAGGTGTTGTTGAAATTTCCTTTCTACCACTTTAAATGCTATTCATAGAGAAAAGTTAATTGAGGTTAAAATAACATTTAATTAATTCACTGCAACTCTAATATAGTGTTAGGCATATTCACAAAGTCACCAGGTTGATTGAAGTGGTCATAGTTGGACTAGGAATGAGACGTACAGGGAATATATGTTTAAACTTGCAGGATCATAGACAAGTTTATTTTCTGACTAACTAGCTGAGACCCCTTTCAGTCTCACACAGCAGTGTAGAAGAGCATGTGTAGACCTAGCTAGCATGTGCAGACATAGCTCTGTGTGGCAGAAATTATTCATGTATGTGTTCATACAGAATTAAAAATATTCCTTTTTATATTTAGGTCCCTACAATGAAGTTATTTATTGGATGTTGATAAGGAATCTGATCCTTCTGCCAAGCAAAAGAATGCAAAATACTTTTGCCTAGGAAATTGTAGGTTAAGAGCTCATAAATAAAGACTGTAGAGACAAAGTCTATCTGTAAATGCACATTTTAGTGAAATTAAAGAATATAAAATTCTCAATAAAGTAAAAGTCAACTGCTTCTTCATTTAGACCATACATCATAAGCAGCTGTTAGGCTGAATACCTTCAGCATATAATTTAAAACAAAGCATTAAACACTCCTCAGCATTGATTTTTTTTCAGTCTTTATTGTGTTGAGTATAAAAGTTCTGCCTCAACAAGCGATTCTACCTGTGCTGAGTCTCAGCACAGCAAAGAATTTAATAATGTATCTAATTACAGTGTGAGCATGCACTAAAAACCAAGTCTCTATTGATCTCCTTTGCTGACATGACAATCTTTGCACTATGGTTCTTTATATTTGTGCATAGCCAAGTAAAGTTTTCATATGTTCTGCTCTGTTGGTTAGCCAGTCTTGGTCCAAAATTTCTAAAGATTCTTAATATGTCACTCTTCCCAGTCAAGGAATAATCTATAGGTGGAACTCCCATAGTATTTTCTCTAGTAAAAATATATTCAATCTTGTTTTAACAGAGTAAGAAACAAGAAATTCCTAAAGAAGAACAGGGACCAACGACAAAGAATTTGGATTTCTGGGCACAGCTGATTACTCTAATGGTCACCATTATAGATGAAGATAAAACAGCATATACACCAGTCTTGAACCAGTAAGTAATTACTTTCTGCACAAAAATTAAGAATCATGGATTTATTAAAATAAAGATAAGAAATACACCTGAATCAGAAGTTGTATTAAAAAGAATCTAGGAGGAGATTTTTATACAGAATGTATCTCTGACATGTTTTGATAAAAATTTAGTGCTCTGATAATGGAAATAAAATCTTTTGCTTTAGGAACATTAAAGATAGGTGGTATATGAGTCATCTCAAAACTTTAGCAAAATATTCTATAAGTGAGATAAATGGATAGAAAAGAAATGTCAATGACATCTCAGTGAAGGGAATTTTCCGTGTGATGGTATTGATGATATGAGAGTATCGTGGCACACATGGTGTTCTAATCATGCTGAAACTCTTTTAAGTATGATTTTTAGGCATGTAATTGTAAAAAAAAAGTGAACTTCACAAAAAGACCCTCTCTGAATTTATAATTGGCTGGCCAGACTGACTTGAAAATATATAAAGTGGAGAGCAGTATCCTGGAGATGGAACTTGACTTCTCAGAATTGAAGATGTAGCAGATGAGGGAGGGTTACATCAGTAACCAAGACAAGACAAATAAGTTAATTTTGATACATGAGTAGAAAGGAGAGAAACAATTGATAAACACAGGAAAAGAAGGCAGTGCTGGGGTTTGAACATGAAATATATAGAAAGAGTGCAAAGGAGTTTCACATGTTACAGCTGGAGAAACAGGCCTTGCACTAATTGAAAAGTGATGTGATGAGGCCCTGGGGAAATGTTTTAGCTCTCTTAGCTCTTTGGAGCCATTTTACAGAGAGATTGCAAAAAATCTGAACATAGTCTGGCTGTAATGACTTAGCAAAAGTTAACATTGAAAAGTATATCTGTATTATGACTAAACAATTCATAGAAGTTTCTGCAAGTGCATTTAATTGAATGCTCTGAAGTGGAGCAGGAGCAATCTGGGTTTTTTAGCCAAAATAGTGTAAATACTAGAAGGCACTCTGTACACTGAGTTGTGCTTGTCTGTTGATAAATGGTACCATTCTATTTATAGCCCCACAGTCAAAGTGACAAAGAAACTGCCTGGTGATAACCAGAAGCTGAAAGATATTTCATTGACTTCTGACTCCTTCCTTTACTTGAAATAAATAAAGTATCGTTTCAGTCCTGGATAATAAGCATTTCTTTCTTCAATCGTCTGTTGCACTCACCTTATGGAATAAGTTCTTACCCTGTTCAGGAAAGAAAACACTTTTCCTGTTTACTCCATTTTTATGATGTAATGTTGAGTTTCTCCATTAATGAAAGCTCAGGCTTTTGTCTGACAGGCTGTATAAATAATAGAGTCATTGTAAAATATCTAATTGAGACAAATACATATATGTGATTCATTTCAGTCTCTTCATTGAAATTTAAAAAGGGTAATAACAGGTTGATTATCCTAAAAACTTTTCTAGCTGTATTTTTATACAAATATGAGGGAGAAAGTAAAGGCATAAGGAACAGAGTTCTTCTAAGGGGATTAGGAGGTTCCCTAAAGTACAGATGAATGATTGTGTAAAATGTGAAAAGAGAATCAGGAGTGGACGGAATTGGGACAGATTAAGGGAGAGAGCTCATGTGTCTGACTTCTCTCCCGTTTTTGGTGTTGTTTTGTGAGTGAAAGAGTGAACATAGGGAATAATATGTCTTTTAGAAGTAGGAGAGATCAGAAGCAAAAGATGAAGGGGTTGTAGCAGGAAAAGCACTTGAAAAAATGTTCAGAGTTGCTTTAGATACTTTTTTTTTCTTTAAAGCTTCTCCTAACACAAAACCAGCATGTAAAAACTGTTGAGAAAAAAATAAGACAGCCTCTTCCCCCCTGCTTACCCCAGAAAAGAAAATGGGTTAAAATGGATGAATGGGAAATGTGAGTTGAATACACAAGAATACTAAAAAAATGTGACTCCTTATGAGAAATATATGGCCATGCAGAGTCTCAGTGGACTATTCAGGCCTGCATCCATTTGAATCCTATTTTAGAAATGAGGTAACTGAAGATCCCCAGTAGAGCATTCTGATAAAAGTTTTAACAATTGTATAATATTGTTCAGAATTCTACTCCTCAACCAGTTTTGGAAACCCTATTTTTATATCTACCTTGGAGGCAAAAATTGTGCTGTCATGGAGTGGTTTGAACTCTATCAGATGATAATTCCAGATGAAACATGACATGATGGCCTCAGCAAGCATTGCAGCCACTGACAGAGCAGACCAGACCACCAGGTGGGAGTGTGGGGGCAACCTGCAGTTCTTACACGACATGAGAAACTTGACATATTTGAGGGGAAAACGTGGTCTGGTATTAAAATCCTCATTCTAGTAGTTAAACAATGTAAAATGTGTTTGAAACCTGATTCATAGGCTAATTCAGGGCTTCCTGGCACTTCTAAATATGCATGGTATGTGCTGTGAGAAATTGCTATCAAAATAAAATATTTATTCTAATAAAAGGAACATCAAATCCAAAACAAAATCTTCAACTCAAATATGCTCCTGTATTTTGGTAGTAAGATCTAAACTTCAGGCCTCTGCGCTTTTTTTTTGGTTTTTTTGCACATAAACTCTGAACAGTCAAGTTGTCACTGTAGTATAAATTTAAGAAACGAGACAGTTCTAGTGGGACTTTTAAATTTGTTCTTTACTGATCCTTAGATCATTGCAATATTAGGACTTGTTTTCTCTGTGTTCCCATTGTGTTCCACACACTGCAGAAAGGACTGATACATGAAATCTGCAGGAGCAGATTCCCCCATGCTTCAGGAGCTAAGATGTTTAATAACTCTGAAAAATTGGGGGTAGTAACTTATAGTGTAGAAACATCATAACTGTAACCTACATGTCAGTGAGTTATGAAACATAGGTCAGTGGAAGAAAAAATTACGGAAGGAAGTGAAAAAATCAGAGTACACTGTATCGTGAATTGGACTGTGTCAGCCCAACTTTAGAATGTTTCCTTCATGATGGAGAGTGTGTCTGACAGGTTTTGTGTCTTGACCAGTGATAGCCCTCATTATCAATTACACTTTATTCTGTGGAAGCATGTTAATATCACTTCTTGCATTGAACTTGTGGACATTATCCTGTGTAACAAAGCTGTTCTCATTCTTTCACCTACCCCGGGTATCTTCCCATGTAACAATGAAACACTGACACACCAGGTTAGTTATATCGATTATGTACAGTATCTGTCTTGCCCAAGACCTAAGTGGCTGTCTTCTATATGCAATTTATTATTTTTTTATATGGTCATGTATGGGCAACATAACTCTTCTGGATAAACTGAAATTTTATATAGTTCAAGAATTACATAGAAATGGGGTAAATTATGGCCAATGGGGGTCAGAAATAACTGTAGCAAGAGCAAGCTAAATGATTGACAGACTCTGCTGCTTGTCCTTTTGCTTCACTGAGAAATGTAAAAATACATGGCTTTTACAAAGATTAGAAAATGTAATGTGTAGAGATTTGCATGGGAAATTTCTCTAATATTTTGCTCCTTAGGGATCAAAATTTGAAGTAGTTTGAAAAAGTTTTCTTACCAAAAAAATAAGGTGATAAAATACAAATAATACAAAATACCATAGTTATACAGACGTTTTAGTATTTAACTTTTGATTACCCCTTCCCTTTAATAAGACAGCTGCTTCTGTTACCATTTATCTTTAGCGTGTGGAATGTGTCGTGTGCTTCTGTTGTGCATTAGCTATGTCATCTTCTCATATATAGTAAATTGCAAGGATAGCTCTGGTAGCTCCCTCATGCCCATGACTGACAGCTGTGCAATGCCCACCAGTCTGTCAGAAGTATAAAAACTGTCAGCAGTTTTAGACTTCACCTAACTGAAGCCAGGTGGGATGTGTTGAACTAATTTAAACAACATTGATAATTGCAGTTTGTGTGCCTGTGCTCACACAAGTTAAAATCCATGGACAAATCTGTTTATCACTAACCAAACAAGTGCATTTTTATCAGACCCAGCCTTGCCTTATGGCCAGCCTTGCAATATGCACAAAAGACAGTGTCAATATTAAATCAACTGTTAAATACTTCCTCAGAGCAATACTGTCAAAGTTCAAGTCTGGTGCGAAGAGAGAACTCAGAGTGGACTGGAGGTAAAGAAATTAAGACAGCTGAAATACATTTCAGCTTTTGAACAGAAATTAATTTTGTGTTAACAGAATTAATATGAAGTTCTTTAACTGAGCAGTCATTAGCATGTAGAGGGCTCAGTAAACGGAGCAACTGCTTCCTATTAAAGCAGCAGAGCTAATGAGCTGTTTAAATACTTTTTCTTTGCAGATATGATCAGGGTCAAATAGGTCTCTAAAATGAATACATTACTTAGATCATACTGCTACCACTTTAAAGTTGCACATAATTCTCATTCTTTCTATGTCAACAAGACCCTTAAAAATTCTTACATTTTTTCAGCAATTATTACAGAATATTTTCTGAATTTGATTGGTGCTTTACTAAAAGGTCAAAATACTTTGGATCCAATTCTCTGCTAGTATGAAGTGTAATAACTCCAACACAAAAGCCACACAGATCTGTGTATTTCCTCATTAACAGATTCTCTTTTTTTATATATTCCTGGTGAACTGTGGGTGTATTTGTGGCTCTCACTGCACCCCTGGGCTTTAAACAACTGCTTTACCCCACTGGGAGATTCTGTGTTCTACTTTTTGCTCTTCATTTGCCTGACCTGCTTGGCTCTGCCTCTGTTTCCTGAGAATGGCTCATATTAATGTCAGTTCCATAGCTGCATTAAAGACAAGCCTTTTTTTTAAGACAAAAGCTGTGACATAAAACATGGTGTTGATCACTAAAATGCCAGCTTTTGCTAGTTGCTAGCAGTGAAAATGGTAACTCAAAGATTAAGGCCTTTCTTTTGCATTGAATAAGAAGTAGCTGGCATCTATGAAAAAATTGTGTAAAAATACTTAATTGATAGCAGCAGAAAGTATCTAAAAAGGACCGTTTCTCAAAGATGACACAAAGCATGAGACCAAGACTAAAATTTTGAATCAAAATCTGCATTTCACTACGTGTTATATTCTTTATTATTTTATCCATACATCAGTCAAGGTGGAAGTCTTCAGTGAATTGGATTCTGTGAGTATATAAACCAATACAGTTTCACAGACAGCTTCACTTTTTTCCAGTGTCACAAGGGAATTAAGGAAAACCTGCAGCTGCTAAACTTCCCAGCCAACTGTCTCATGTTCTTCATAAGGCATCTGATTTATACAAAGTTGAGAAATCATCTGCAAGATAGATGAATGTTTCTTGATTTAACATGTCATGTAAGGGAAGCTTTTATTTGAAGGTTGGATGGTTTATTTAATTGTTACAAAACATAAAATATGATAAGTGCATACTAAGGAATTTATTTTGTGGAAATATTTGCCTTTTTGCTGTGCAGCTGTAAGCATCATTCCTAGCAGCAGGTGAACTGATGCAATGTGATTGATTGCAGGTTCCCTCAAGAGCTGAACATGGGAAAAATCAGTGCTGAAATCATGTGGACTCTGTTTGCCCAGGACATGAAATATGCTCTGGAAGGTAATTAGAACAAGCTATTAATTACACTAGTGAGTTCACCAAGACTGATTTCCACTGCAAGTAATACCTGGCATCAGATTTCTGTGTGTGATTAGAGCTGTCTGGTGTACTTGTCTAAGATCCTTTGTAAATTAGTGAAAAAGAGGGTTATAAGTAATCAAATCATTGCACTGTGAATATATGAAGTTATCTGTGAAAGAAGAACACAAAAGAATTGTGACTTGAAATGCTGCTTCTTAGATCTGATAAAATATTCAGTGTCCAAAGAGAAACACATGTGCTTGCTAGAGAGCATTGTAGACACTCTAATTTTTCTCACTAGCTGAAAATTGCTAACTTGCCCATAAGGAACGTTTGCAGAATGAAATTATAGAGAAAGCACATATTTATAATTAAATCTTTTTGTGTTCAAAAGCAGGATGTATTCATTCTAGTTCCAGCAAAATCAAATGCAGTTTCATTTTCTCTCTTAAGATATTGTGGTTAACCATTGTTAAAATGTGTGGGTTTTTTCTGTATAGAAGATTGTCTCCAACTAATGGCTTCAAATACACAATAAAATGTGGTTATTGCAGCAAACCAAGTAAAAATACCTGCATGAAACTGCCATTGTCTTTAGTCAAGTCTGCTACTAACTACAGAGCAAGTCTGAAAAGGGTGAGAAAAAACATATATTAGATTAAAAAAACAATGCAATTCAACAGGCATAAAGGATTTAAAAACCCAGATACATGAAGGTACATGTCTATGTTATTCTCTCAGGAATGTCTAATGTGATAATATCAGTGTGGTGGTGCTTTGAAGACATAGCAGATTTTCATGATGATAAAGAAAGAGAAAAGATGAGTGGCTAGAATGGGTATTGGTGGAAGAACTGTTTTGTTCATCTGCTGTTGTGTTACTTCATTTTGTTAATTGTGTTATTTGAATGTGGAACTTCCATACTAAGCACAGAAGAGGAAAAAGAGGAGAAAATAAGGAAGGTAATTAAAATATGTACAATGACAACAGAAGACATGAGACATCTTACATGTGGGTAGGAGAAGAGATATTCAAACTATTGTTTCACAGTCCTATTCTGTAGTCATGTCAGAATGAATCAGAGGTACAAGTTTGAGAAGAGATGTCAGGCAGGAGATCATCCTTTAAGAGTGATCAGTGAAGGCAAAAGCTTCCAAGAGCTGAGAAACATGGTGACCAAGTGAAAGCCACTGTTTTATATTAAAGTATATTCCTGGTTTCCCCTGTGAAACAACCTTCTATCTGGAGAGGCTGTCAGTCAGGAACAGCTATCAGAAAACTCCTGTTCAGTAACTCAGTGCTGTGATTCCCTTACAGATAGCACAGATTACTGAGGATTTCTAATAGCCACCAATTTCCATGACTTCATAACCTTGGGGATGTGGTTATACTCTGCACACAGACATCCCTGAGCACACAGAGCTTGTAGTGCTTTAGCCATCCAACCATAAACATTCTGCACTGCAACAAAATAATTCACAAAATGTCACTCACTATTTGTTCATTAGAGCACACTGGTCACTCAAAAGACAGCATCAGATCAAGCTGTGGTTTGTTTCTTGGTTGTAAAGAATAGAACAAGAAGCTCATAAGAAAGAGTTAGTTATACAATATATAAAGTGTGGATGTTTGGACTGAATCAGGACTTTAAAATAAATATTAATGTTACTATTAATCCTTATTCCGCAGAGAGAGATGTAGAAAGCATTTGAATTTTTATATTTCAGGCCAGTCCCTGAATATGGTTTCATTTCTGTGTTGCTGTGGATACTGACTTTCTGAGGAGAGGAAATGCCATTGTCGGCATTAGGAATTCTAAGCTGCTCCCAGAATCATTAGTGAAACAGTTCCTGCATATAAATAACAATTAAAGAAAATTGAGATTAGTATAAGTTATTATTTTTAGATTAGTATAAATTATTATAAATGTACACCATTTCACCTTCTACGATTTCATTCCTAAGCAGGAACCTCAATGGATCTAGTCACAAAATATAGATCAGTATGTTGATCCTCTACCCAGCTTTCCTGGGATTTGGATTATTGATTCTTTCCATAGATATTCTGCAAACTGGGTTTAACTCAGGTGTTGCTGGCAATCATATTTTTTTCTTTAAATTCCATAAGATTAGAAGCAAGCTCTTAAATATGTTCACAGTTGGTCCTCCTGGTCTTAATGGAGTTCATTAAAATGCATTGCATTCTGCTATGTCACTCTCGCCTTCCAAGTTATTAACATAGGCTGCCATCTGTTCATACCTAGTGTCCAGGGCTGCGATTGCAATCTTTCCCTACTCCAATTTAGTATTAATCTTCTGAAGCAGCATCTTGTGCGGTACGAAGTTGATTCCTTTCTGCATCCAATCAAGAAGCAATGAACTGGTCCAGCATTGTTTGCAAAAGGATTGCTCATGTGATAAAAAAAATCTGATTAGCTCATCCGAGATCCTGTTTCTGGTTTTACCCACTTTATGTATTCACAAATACATCCAGCCACATCCATCAGCTTAAATTCAGGAAAGAGGAAGACACTCCAGCAAACACTGGAGCATCCACTTTCCATTCCTTTTCCCTTTCTCCTGAGTGCAGATCAGAATGGCTGTTGAGGCTCTCTCCTGTCTGTGTACAGCTGTATCCCTCCTGGATCTGCTCAGGGGGTGTGTAGAACACCCCAGCAGCCCTGTGAAGGGCATCAGCTGGCACCACACACCTTCTGCCTTCTCTTCTCCCTTGGTCCTTGCTAGGACACTCCAGCAAGGAGGCTGCTGCTGTGGCATGGAGAGGTCAGAGGGGACAGCAGCTGCCATGGCAGTGGCCTTTGGCTAAAGAAGAGCAAAGCCATGTCTCTGAGTACCAAGGCAGTAAATTGGCATTGGGAGAGCAACTTGTTTTTTTGGTGAGGGAGGAAAGGACATCCCAAAGCACAGTTCAGGTCTGCACAGCTGCCAAGATCAGGGCTACACTGTGCCAAGCTGGCATGCCTTGGAAACGAAACTGTACTAAAATCTGGTATTGCATTCATAATGTCATTCTAGATTTTGCTCCAATTTAAGTTAATTAAAATGTTTGACCTTTGCATAGTGTTAAAGTTTTTAGGCAAACTTTAACAAATTGAGTTCACACCAGTTATATTTCTTTTTTTCTTGTCTAATGGATTATTTTCATGTATAGATTTTGCATGACAAAGATATGTTTCTCTTTGAGAATTGTCTTCATTAGTTTTGGTCTCTTTGGGGTGTTTTTCTTCTTTGCAGGTTATGCATGAAGTGTCAGTAGTTTGCATGATACATTATAGATTGTTGTTTGGCATTTAGTTTACACTAACATCTGATCTTACAGGATAGTAATATTTTTGTACTGTCTGATCCCCCAATTATTCCATATTTATGCTGAAAAGAAATGAGAACAGAGAGAATTTCACCAGTGCATATGATTTATTACTGACTTCATATAGTAGAAAATCTTTTCCTTCACAAGTATGAAGATGCAAAGGTTAAAAGATGATGAGAGAGTAATAAGCTGAAATTAGACATGCAATTGCAAAGTATCTATTTTTAAATCTTTGTCCTCAGAAATGTCTTTTTTCAGATCTTTCATATCTCTAACTTTTGAATAGGTCAGATCAAATGGCTGAAACTATCCAGACTGTTAGAAAGAGAACATCCTAATTGCTGTTATTATGATAATCTAATTCTGGTAGTGGCCAGAAGTCAAGACCAGAATCAGGCCAGGAATTAGTTGACTGTGGTGTAAATACAGCAATAAGCAGTCTCCATTCTGCAGAGCTAAGATTCTGAAGGCCTTATAAAAATAGGAGAGGAAGATAGTCCTTCCACCATTTTATGCATTTAATGTAGGTTTGCTTTTCAAGTTTGCTGTTGTCTTCAGTGCTTAAGAAGATACTATTTTCCTGTTTTTGACAGATAGTTCTTCTGTAACAGAAACTGATAAAGTGATTTGAAGGAGAAGAGGCAGGTCTGGGAGTTGATGCTGAGCACAGAGACAGCATAGAAAAAAGCCAAAAAGGCCGATGCTGCCCAGAGAAAGGCCATGCCATTTGGTAGCAGATTTCAAGTCTATTTTCACTCCAAATTCACAATTTGCAAAGTTTCCCTCAAGATGGAATAGAGTCTTGGTTTGTAGGGAGGCTACAGCAGTGAGGGAAGGTGAGACTGAGGTTTTGTACAGGACAAGAAGATAGTAACATCCACAAGAATGCAGGATGTCATCGCTATCAAAATATAAAACCTTTTTATTTTAGTCAGTCTCATTTCTGCATTGGCACTTTTCAACAAATGCATTCCATGCTTATCTTTTCAGACACCTGAGGAATTAAGAATCCTCTGTGGCAACCCAGACAGTCTGTAAAGGCAAAATCAAGGAGATTACAGTTAGAGTTAAACCTTCCTTTGGCAGATAAGATAGAATATTGCCATGATTAGAGGAAGAGGGGAGTTAGAAATGTTCTTTATTCACCCTAACAGACAAGGATGTTAGTAACAGCAGGTGCACTCTGTACATCCTGAGGGGCTGAGCTTTGTGAGTATGAGAATCCACCTGTCAAGGGCAAAGCAGAGCTCTCCAGGCTTGCCTAAAAAGCACCATAACCATGCCAAATGGCACTATTTTGTTGGAGTTAATTAGACCCAGTAATTAAGACAGATGAAGTGGATAAATCTTCTCCCAGGGGCTGAGTTAATACTTCTTCATGGCTTCATATTGTGCTGTAGCAATGTGTCATCTTGCTTGGAACTACCTCCGAGATCTCTGGTATGGCACAACCTTGCATCTGGGACTGCTATATCTATAATTTCCTTGTTCTCTAACCCATTTTCTTGGATTTAAGACATTGAACCAGCATCAGAACAACGAGCAGTACTGCAGTACAAGTCTACAGTAATCTTAATAAGCTCAAGCTTCTCTATGTCTGACTGTAGGTATCTTCACGGTGCCAGATTTACTAGAAAAAATGTAGTGCA